AAAGATACAGAATACAGAATACAGGATACAGGATACAGGATACAGGATATAAGATAAAGATACAGGATAAAAGATGAAGATGCATTATACATGATGCAATATGCACGATGCAAGATAAAGGATGCCAGAGAAAAGTTTAGAAAAAGGATAGAAAATAAGACACAAGACGAAAATTTGATGTAACGATGAAACCTACATGGGACCAAAATTCATCTGTGACGAAATTTGATTTTATTGACAAAATAGATAAAGGACAATACAGAATAAAGGATATAGAATACAGGATACAATAGTTATACAGGAAACGGGATACAGGGTACATTATACAATATAGAAGAAGAAAATTATTAGAATCGACCAACCAACCTGAATGAGACCAAGATTCATCTGTCGTTCCATAATAAATTCTGGTTTATTTCCCCGAATATCCCAGACTTTCATACTTTTATCCTACAAAATATTTTGTTAAACTAGATAAAATTAGAAGTTCTGCATAAAACTAAAAGTGTATATAGACACAGTAAATAATCATTTACTGCTGAGCTCAGAGATACAGCAACCAGGAAAATAGATTTAGAGAACTTACCGCTGAGACAGAAACCAAGCAACTAGGACAATGGGTTTAGAGAACTTACCGCTGAGACGGAAACCAAGCAACCAGGACATTGGGTTGAAAGAGATATACCAGTAACATCCTCAGTGTGTGCAGAAAGAGTCCAAGTGGCAGTTTCAGTTCTAAGCAATCAGCAATTAAAATAATAATTAGAATAATAATGTTAAAATCAACACCTTGGTTCAAATTTATCAAGTTAAAGTTTAAGAGAAGTGGTTCAACTAAGTCTACGTGATTTAACACTTCTTCTAGTAGCTCGCTAATTATTAGATCTGAGCTGAAAACTTTAGAATGATGGATAGCAGGATTAATGCTTAATCCACTCTTTTTCTTAATCTCCAGATTAAATATTGCTTATACTCCTCATGAACTTAATCTCCAGATTAATTAACAGATCGGGATTAAGGATATCACATTCTAAAGTTTTCATCTCTGGTCCTAGCATTACTATTTTAATCTTTCTTTACTTTCATGCCTTTCTTTTGTTTATTTTAAAAATCAAATCCAACTATTTTTGATGTAGTTACTAATATCTAACCTGACATCTATACAATGTATAGTACCGGCATCTGTACACGCTATACACTGGAACGGATTAAAATGATCCCAGATTACTCGCTCCACTTCTCCCGTTACTTTCCACTTCTTGTAACTATCTTGAGTTCTACAGTCCGCCACTCGAACCTTTTTATCACAGCACCCGGTAGCTAACGTCTGAGGATCAAACGGATGCCAAGCTAAACTCTGAACCTTCTCTTTGTGATATCTAAAAAGAAAAAAAATTATTTTTAAACCATTTTACAACTTAAAATCAGGAGAAATTTGTTGGCTGCTTAGTTAAGAGAGGAAAACAAATATAAAAAATAAATATTTGGTGAGGTGAAACAATGAAAATACAAGAAAGTTGTGAAATAATAAAAAATATTTTACTTGAGAGTAGAAGCAACTGATTTTTGTCCAAGATCCCAGAGTAGAACTGTTTGATCAACGGAACCACTGGCAAGTATATGCTCAGCTCCCTGATTCCAGGCTAGAGCAAGAACTGCATCAGTGTGCCCAACCCCGGGGATATTCTTCTTCTTCTTTGCCTTCCTACCCAGGGTGAAGGCGGGTTCAAGACAATCTACTATATCTAGATCCCAGACCTGGATCTCAGGCTGCATAGATCCAACCGCAACCAAGCTTCCTTTAGTGTCAGATTCAGGATCAAAGGATAACCATTCTAAGCGAGAAAAAAAAATTAAATAAAACAAACAAATGAAAAGTTTGTAGGCGTAATTTTAAGTGACATTTCATTTTAAGATTGGCATGTCCGGTTAAAACACAACAGTACCTTCAAATAAACCTCTATCTGAGTAACAATGAGAAAAATTTCGTATTTTTTTCTACATTAAAACGTGTTGAATTCTGACAGTAAAATTAATAATCGGTGTAGAATAAGTTTTAGTCACTTAAAAAAGAAACCACAATTAAAATAATCTTCAGCCAAAATGAGGATATCTCGTTTATTCTTCGTAAAAAAACGGAATCAGCGAAAAGTTTTGAAGGATTGAATATTCTCAGAGAAAAAGAGCATAAGCTCTAGAAGTTCAAGAAATTCAAATAACAGAGAAATCAAAATGTAAAATTAGGGCTGGTGCAAGATTCAAATTTTGAAAATTACCTAAAGCCAAGGGTAGTGAAGGAAGGAGAAGATCATGATGAACATACAGAGCATCCTCGACATCATTGTATACATAGACCTCTAGGGTAGCGGAGTCTCCCTCAACATGTCCGGCCAAGATGAGGTTATCTGTTCCTCTAGAATTAGGCTGTCAAACAGTGCGTCAAATATAATCATGTCAATCACAAAAATAACTATTGTTCACTACTTATTCAAGATATGAATTTTAAAAAATAAATATAGTATACCTGATTTTAAAATCCTCCACATCCTCCTCGTCCTCATCTGGTTGCTCCTGGTCAAGGTAAGGATCCTCTCCAGGATCTGCAAATACCGTCAGATCTCCCAGTCCAAACAGTTTCTTAGAGTCAATCCCATCCTCCTCATCGTCATACTCATTCAGTCCATACTCATCCTCGATATCCTGATCCGTCTTATCCTTCTTTCCTTCGGTCTTAACCGTGGGAGAATCCTCACCGTCTGCAATATTCTCTTTCTCATCTGAGGAGTCCTCGTCGATGTCAGCAATTTCTCCCTGAAAATATATTATTATTTTGCCATGTTTATCGTTAATGTTTGTTAGGGACAACCGTCAGAACAGAATTATGTTGAAAGATAGATAGATAGCTGCAACCTCTGGTAGCGCTTCTATGAATCCAAGTCATCTCATTAAATCTAGTTAATTATTAACGAGCATTTTCTTTTTTGGTCTTAAAAACAGAAATAACGGAAGTATTTTTAATGATGACTTGCGGCTCATTCAAAAATCCCCGAACTGACGATAGATGTCGTTGTCGACACGAAAACAAAAGGTGTCCCGAGTTTTTTTCTTAAAGGATTTAAAATGTGAAAAGAACATGTTCTACATGTACATGTGAGATTTTTAAAATTATAATATAACATTACTTTATGTAATTTTCTTAGATTTATATAAAAACAATTGTATATCCGTTTTCATCGTCTGTTTTGACCCCCCCCCCCCCTTGGGAGTAACTGTACACAACAAACCTATGTTTCTGCTTCATGAAGGCTGCTTCAACCCTGGGCTTCAATCCAAGCTCTCCATATTTAACAAAGTAGTTCTGATGTGCTCTAAAAAATTAAAAAAAAAACTAGCGACAAGGGAAAGTATTTTTACAAATCAAATCAAATCATATTAGTAGGGAAGGCTTCAGGCTCCTAAATGTGGGTTTGAGTTTCAAGTCTTGTCGTTCTAAAAGTGTCTGAAGAAACCGAGAATAAGTTTAACTAGAAGCAGTTAGATTAACTTCTTCTCTTATGGGTGCAGCCGACATCAAAATGAAGCACCTTTCTATTTCAAGTTGATTTCGACGACACCAAAAATGTTGTTAAACCAGCCATGACTAAATCAACAATTTCCTCCGAAAATTCAGCACTTAAAATTGAAGATTTAAAATTAAAACTAAGTTTATTTTTTAATGGCATCGCATTTTTTGTTGCAATGATTAAATTCTTTAATTTTATTGAGATTTTATCTTTTTTCACTTGTATTTTTTCGTTTATTTATTTATTTATTCATTCTTTTACATTTTTGTTCTTTTTTATTTTTTGCCATTTATTTTTTCTTCTTTTTTGCCATATTTTATCTAATATACATGAGTATATAAAAACAGTGTCGTAATTATAATAAAAACATACAAATTATTCAATTTTTGGTTAAATTTAAAAGAAGTATTCATCATATGTTTGTTTAAAACTGATAACAGAGCTGCCATTTTTCTTTATTTAAAAAAATACCTTTCAAAAGTTTCCAATATTTTTCTGCAAGGATGATTTGACCCCTCGCTAACATCAACAGTTGGACCATCACGAGGATCTCCCCACTGAGCAGGTCCACTACCCTTCTCGTAGAATATACAGTCGTCTAGTCTGCTACGCAAGATATTGACGATTTGTCCTTCAACCTTCAATAAATAATTGAACTTTATTTCTTAGCATATTTGGTCTTTTTTTATTTTCATATTTTTACAAATTACGATTTTTAAGCGACTAGAATTGATAGATACATGTTTTTAATGCAGGTAATCGTTTTCCCAATATTCTTTTTTTTCTGTCCACTTATTCACTTTAATTAATTATGGTGCATTATCTGCATGCCCCCCCCCCTAGGGTGCCCCTGAAAAAAATTTCCAGATGTGCTACACATTTTTTAGGAAGCATTTTAAGGAGCTTTAGACATTTAGTGAACAAGTTTTGCAACGCGTAAAATCCCGGTTTTTGTGGGATATTGTCGTTAGGCCCATTGAAGTTATTAAGACTTAGATAATTCACCGAAAGTTTAATAACTCCATGTTCTTTAAAGATATCGAAGTTTTGTTTTTTTTTGCTTTGTGAAAAAAAAATTTCTTTTATGTTGCATTATTTGGCCAACCAAGAAAAGTTGAGGTGAAAATTGCACCAGAAACGGTTTTATTTCATGGATTTTTTGGCCAATACCTTACAAATTTCCCTCTTAACTTGTCAATAAAACATTTTTTAGGCCATTTCTGAACTGTAAAAATATTTTTAAGTAGAAAATTTTTTAGTTAAAAAAAAATTATTTAAACAACTCCCAGACAAAAGGTGTAAAAAAGACGCGATTTATCACCTTTTCTGAATACTAAAACAATTTAAAAAATATTTAATGCAAAACAATCTGGGAATTTTTTTCAGGGACACCCCCCCCCCCCCCCCTGAAAGGCGATAAAACAATTAAAACAATTTCTTCCAATGTATTTCTGATCCTGACTCCCCCTCAAAAAAAAAAAAAATTTCTCAGAACAGAATTTTCTGGTTTCAGAGGGAAAACCAGATTAAAATATTTTAAATATGACTGCTCTATTAATAATAATATTTTAACTATAGTTAACACTTTACCCCAATGTATTTTTACACCCCTCCTAGAGTCACACATGATTATTCCTACAAAAGTGAAATCATATGATTTACTGTCCTCAAAAGGAAATTAGTTCTTTGCAATAAGTTTTGAACTAAAAAACGACTTTTAACCTTTCTATCTCTGAGAAACTGGGCATTCGCTTCCTCTCTGCAAATAACGTCGTCTACATAGCACTCGTCAATGGTTGGTACGCGGCGTAGACTCCTAAACAATAAGAGTATTTTATTAATCCAGTCATAGCGAAACCAGTATATTTATAATGAAATCTCAAACATAAGCATTTAATAGATTTCTTAATTTAACATGATCTTGTTCTTGTTCTTTTCCTTCTACTAATGGGTTTAAGAACGCGTTTGATTTCATTATATTCAGAGTAAATGTAATTTTACTTTGTTTGAATTCATTCTATTCAGAGTAAATGTAATTTTACTTTGATTGAATTCACTCTATTTAGAGTAAATGTAATTTTACTTCGTTTAAATTCACTCTATTTAGAGTAAATGTAATTTTACTTTGTTTGAATTCACTCTATTTAGAGTAAATGTAATTTTACTTTGTTTGAATTCATTCTTTTCAGAATAAATATAATTTAACTTCGTTTGGAGAAATCGGAGAATTCTAAAGTCTGTTCTTAACTAAATCTAGGTTATTATGAGATGTCAAGTTTACATTAGTTTAACTCTACCTTTCTGCATAGCAGGACCTAGGTCTTTGCAGAGTCGCTTCTAACAGTAACTAGGAGAACAGAGACACAGAGAAAAATGCCAAATCCAAGTTAAACGTTCACACATAATAAACTTAAGATATGAAGGAAATTGATGAGAAAAACAAGATAATCAACAAGGAATGCCTGCATTCATTTGTCAACGCAGTATTGCCCTGAAAAACAGAGGTTTTATACCTCCATGGGTCTGGGCTAGCTATGGAAAACCTTGACTTGCACTCCTTAGAAACAGGTCTGGTTAGCCAATTTTAAGTAAACCTTACAATCCATGGGAAACATATTAATATCCATCAACCAGGGATCTTCCTAATGTGGAGAAGCATCAAGTACAAGTATAATTTACAAGTACTGCCCAGGATGTTCTTACACATCAGTTTCAAGGCTCCAATTGTTGATAATCTACTCCTAGCCAAAACTCTTATCACATTTGTCATTATTTATAAGTGGAGGTTCTGACATTGGGTCCTTTTTCTTTCCTCACTCTTTAATAAATAAGAAACATTTATTGTGTACAGATCTATTTTTAGTATAGTCATAAACCTGTTAAGTAGCAAATTCCAGAAAACTTGCAAGGATTAGTATTTCAATTATAATTGTTCATGGGTTCAGTGACAGCAGCCGAGATATTGAATTTAAAACATATACTGAGCTAAGCTTACTAGCAAAGGACCAGAAATATCAGACAAAATTAGAAAAGAAGCAGAAATTGGCAGAAATCTGAACCAATGAATAGATCAGAATGAACGGACTAATTAATTCTATTACCAATTAATTTGAAAATATCAAAAATAAACGTTGGGGTGTTGTTTCCTACTTGGGGTTTTCGGGTTCCTGGAACCCCCCTCCCCCCCCCCCCAGGAAGGGTCCCGGGGACCAAAGAATCCAAAAGTGGGAAAAATTGGAATGCTGAAATAATGTAATACTAATATACATGTTCGTAATTATCTTTTATAAATACCATTTTAAAAAAATTGTTAAACATTCGAAAATTCTTTAAAGGAAAACTAACCAAAAATATCAATTTTTGGAAGATCAACTTTACGACAATTCTTGGATGATATACACCATCATTACTGCTTGTTTTCTCCCACGGCCATATTTGGGCCGGCTAGATAGTTTCAGGGCATATATTGTAAATTAAACAGAAGTATTCATTTGCCAATTATTAAGACTGGAAATCTCAAATGTAACAAGAAACCAACCTGTGATACCAGGCCTCAGGTTCGCTAGTCCTGTTGGGTTCTATCACGTTCTTCCTGATCCAAATAGCGGGCTGGACAAACACAGCGTAACCCATCCTTACCATGGGACCCATGGTTGGATGATCATGGAAGAATGGAGGATCTTCATCAGTTCCAGTCCAAACCATAATCCTGAAATTGAATTGAACATTCCAACAAAAATTACGAGTTAAAGAAACAAAACATGAAAACTGTTTATCACGTCATGAGACACATATCAAGGGTTGATGGAAAACAGAATTTAGTAGAAGAAAATGACGGTCAACTCTAGAAAAGAATGTCACCCTCCGAATCTCATGTCTCTTTAATAAAACCCTCCTTATTTTATAGTACTGCATGGTCATTCAACGGCAATGTGAATCCTTCCGTAAAAGTAACGATACCTAAGGAAAGGGGCTTAATGACCGTAAATAAAAATAAATAAAAATCAGCAAAACACATTTTTTGAGCCAAAGCTTATCTACTTCTTGATTTCCCTTCGTTGGGATTCCATTATTCCATCCATTCACATCGCACAGCTGAGCGGCCATATTTCGAGATTTTTCTAGAAACCGGTTCTACGCTCATAAAATCTGTTTGGACCAATCACAGAATAGCTAAGGATGATCGAGACTCCTTTTTTATAATGTTTAAAAAATATTCAAATAAACGATACCAGTTTTAATTTATTCATTAATATAAAACTTTTTTCCATTTTAATTTTAAAACTTCTATTTTTTATAATGATTGCTTTTTATAATATCGTTCATCCCTAGTGCAAATTCAAGGGCTCTCATTGGTTGAAATAATAGGCCGCTTCAAGAAACCGTAATCCTGGTTAGCAGGGTTCCCAAGTAGCATTCTAGAAAGAGGGGGGAGACCAGAATTGTAGGTTGGATGTACACATTTAGTCGGTCAGATGTTCACTATTTGTAGGTCAGTTGTAGGTCCATGCAAAATTATAAATCCGATCTACAATTGATGATCATCTGACCTACAAATGTGTACATCCAACAGCTAGACAAATGTGTACATCCGACCTACAATCTATGGAAGTTCTCTGGGAGCAGGGGGAGTCAGGGTCGTCACAGGGCACTGCTCCCCAGCATAGCTTGCCATATATGAATTATACATTTCAAACTAACATAATTTATAGTTATTATCACGTTAACTTTAAAGATATGGAGTTAAAAACAACAACATTCAGAGGAAAATGCCGCAAACATTCTTAAAGTGAAACTTGAAACTAAAAAACGTAATTTTTTTTCTAGCGCTGAATGTGGCACATTTGGGTGGTGGTGATTACTCGTTGAGGAGTTCTGGTCTCCCCCCCCCCTCGTCTTATACCATCACTTAAGATAACCGGACTCATGGACTGGCCTAATTATTACTAGGAAATTAAGCCACGTATTTACAACTTTGATTCTTTATACGTACATTTGTTAAATACATGGGTACTGGACTATCTTGGTTATATGCTATCCAGCTACTTTGATAAGAGTTTAATCCCACATGTTAACCAAATTCAATCCAAAGAGAAAATATTTAGTATGAAAATGATAACATTTGATGATGAAAAGAGTTTTTTATGTCCAATTCTTTAAAAGGTTTTAAATACCCCTCCTTAAACAAGCCGTTCCCCCCCCCTCCCCCTCCCCCGACTCACGGAAAAGTTCGTTAATTAGATCGACCCCCACCCCAACTCAATATTCACACATCTACACAGTTTGTTTTTAATCTTTGTGAAGAAACAATCTCAAGGAATAATAATTGTCTAAAAACATTTTTTTAGAAAGTGAATATTTGCAAACTATCTGTTTTCCATCTCATAATCTGAGTTCTTTTCCCTTATGTCCATTTGACAGCCCAAATTTTTATTTTGAATAATCTTTTTGTTTGTTTATATTCTTGTATTTTTAAATTTTTTTTATTTTTTTTTTATCGATTTTGACGGTTATTATATCGTTAGAACTGACGAGGGTCAACCCAGACCGAAATATATTTTCAATAAATATGGAACTAACATCTACTTTTTTACTCTACAGAGGTTTGGTCCATCACCATCACTGAATTTTAATATTTATCTGTACTGAAGTCTATTAGTGCCATCAATTGAGCACTTAATCTTTCCTCTTTCCAGAAATTGGGGACTTTTATTAAATTATAGCTTTGTACTTATTATAACATAGAGAGTGAATTAATAAAACAAGACACTTGTATACCCCTTCTTATTCTTTCAGTTTTATCGTAAAATTTATTGTTTTCCCTGAGGATGATTATTTTTCTGGTACTCCAGCTCCTCCAGCCGAGAAAAATGTTTTAAGTTTTCTGCTCTGCTACTGCTTTGATACCAAAATAGAGTTCTGTAATTTCCTAGTAAAAAACTCAACAATATTTATCAAAATTAGTATATTTTTAGGGTTAGGTTAGGTTAAGACATTTTCTGGGCCGAGCGCTGCGGATAGGACAGGCCTGGGGGCCGAGCGCTGCGGCTAAGACAGGCTAGGGGCCGAGCGTCGTGGCTAGGACTGGCTGAGGGGCCGGGCGCTGCCACAACATGTTAAATTATATCCATGTCTTACATGTAAGATCCATGTACAAAATTGATAGGAGGGGGGGGGTCCAAAAAACGTAAACTAGGATATCACTCCAAAAATACTGTGGGGGTTGGAGTGATTTATTTAAAGATTTTATTCCTGTACACTAAAGGAATAGAAACTGCGACTTAAAAGGAGAAATATTCGAGAAATGTCAAGGAATAAAATGAAAACCTTGTTGTCAGATTTAAGGTGCCAGTAATGAGGCATTAAGTCCATAAAGAAATAAACGATAATCAATCAATCAATGACTCAAAACCTTGTTGTCGAAACTTTAAAAAAAAAAATTGGCAAAAGTTCACAGCAGTTCGTTAGTAAAGTCTTCTATATGTTGATTAAAAAATTATGGATAAAAATAATAATAATATAAAATAACTTTTTTAGAGAGTAAATTTTCTCCCCCCTAATATTATTACTCTTTCTTCCTTGAATATATTTTCCAGAAAAAAAAAACAACACAATTACTAAATGTGATTTTGGTATTTTGATCATTTGAAGGGAGCGCAATTATTTTTGGGAAATATAAATTCTAGAAAAGGGCATGAAGTTAAAAACATCGCAGTATCAATTCTCCGATTATATTGTTGTTTGTTTGTTAATTACTTTTTAACAATTCATTAAAGTTTGAACTAGTCGACGTGGGACCTAAATTAACCTTCTCTTATTAGGACCGAGTTATAGCAGCTGTTTTCTTCAGCTGCTATAGTTTTACAAGTGTTTTTAATTGACGAGTAGTCATTATTTCTCCTGCTCAAGTCACAGTAGCATTAAGACACAGGATGGAATCTGTTTTACATTGCAGGAAAAATATGGACCATGAGTCCGGGCAAAAAGTTGCTCTCATCACTGGAATAACTGGTCAGGACGGGTCGTATCTTGCAGAACTGCTCCTGGAGAAGGGATACGAGGTTCATGGAATTATTCGGAGAAGTTCGTCCTTCAACACGGGACGGATTGCTCATCTTTACGATGATCCGCAAACTCACAGAGAGGTACGAACAAGATACCATTGGTTTACGTCTTTTAAATTGGAGAAGATGCTAGCATCGTTATTATTATTAGTACTATGTTATCATTTACAGTCCATGAAGATATTTTAAAAGTTTATTCTTTTTTATTTTTATTTCAATAATTTATTTATTTTTCGCAGGGTAAGATGATTCTTCACTATGGAGATTTAATTGATGGCAACTGTTTGGTGAAAATAATTAATGAAACCAGACCAACGGAGATCTACAACCTGGGCGCACAAAGTCATGTTAAGGTTAGAATTTATCTCCCCTCCCCCTCCCTCCCCACCCAGACTTTTGTCTGTGTAATGTGGCCATAGGTCCGGGCCGATAGCACCGGCCGCATAGATCGGCGTATTTGTTATAAAATTGTAGTCGCATTAAATTGATAAAAATGTTTATCAGATTTTTTTTCTCCATTATAAAAAAAAATCCCCGATTTCTCTAAACGCCTTTCTCATTTATTTTCCTTTTTCTTCTCTTTTTTCCTTCTATCTCTGTCTCTTTTCCTCGGTATTTTGGTTTCTGAGGCTAGTTGGTTAAATATTTGAATTAACTAGGTATCCTTTGACCTTGCTGAGTATACTGCTGAGGTTGATGGTGTAGGAACCCTGAGACTACTGGATGCAATCAGAACCTGTGGTTTAGGGAACTCTGTCAGGTTCTATCAGGTATTTGATTATAATTCCAGAGTAGATCTTGAATTCGTATATTTAAACGAAGGATACGAATTGGTTTTGTCTGGTTTTTCTTAAAATATTCTTAAACTAACCCCGCTCTGATTAAGGCTTCTACCTCTGAGCTGTATGGAAAGGTCCAGGAAGTTCCACAGAAAGAAACAACTCCATTTTATCCCCGGAGTCCATATGGAGTGGCTAAACTCTTTGCATACTGGTAAATACTTACTCGATTTGTTATTTTTGTATCTTTCATAAACTACTATTTTTTAGTTAAAGAATAATAGGGTGGAATTTTATTAATTTCTGTACATAGGTCTGTGATAAACTACCGTGAGGCGTACAACATGTACGCTTGTAACGGAATCCTCTTCAACCATGAAAGTCCAAGACGAGGAGAAACGTTCGTAACAAGAAAAATTACAAGGTTTGTAATGTGATTGATGAAAAATAGTTTTGTTCAATACTTACCATTTGATTGATTGGTTGGTTGGTTGGTTGATTGATTGATTGATTGATTGATTGATTGTTTGTTTGCGAACAGAACTAGATTTAGAAAAAAAACTACGAGTAGAAAACAGGAACTAGGTCTAGAAAGCAGGAACTATGTGTTAAGGACAGGAAATGGGAGTATTAATAGAAATTAATTAGGATTTTAAAAAGATATGAAGAAAGAATACAAATGTTGTAATTGTTATGGCCAATTAATTCTTAAACACATTTTTGAAAATTTTTTTCTAAATTAACTAATAAATCAACCGAAATAATTGTATAAATGATTTAGACTATTATATCACAACGTCTCGGAAACTAAAGCAAATATATTCTTTCATAATGCGTTATTCAATATTTATGAATCTAGATGTACGGGATGAAAATTTGTTTTATTCAGATCTGTATCTAAGATACATCTGAACCAACTTGAATGTTTCGAGCTTGGAAACCTGGACTCTATGAGGGACTGGGGACACGCTAAGGTATAGGGTGATATATTAAACATGGAAATTTTTGACGACTTAATTATTGTCTTCAACTTACGTGGAATTCATTTAAAATGTGATAATATAAGTAACATACTTTAAACAATTAACCTTAGACACTCCTGCACTGGGATTCCCTAAATTAGTTCTCTCTGATTTTTTATTTTAAAGTTTAATTCGATATTTAAACATTTTAAGAAATCATAATTTCCTTTACCACCGAACCTTTTAACGAATGATATTATTCAGATTTTTTTTTGAATAATTTCGTACGTTATTTTTACATTTAACACATAATCTTAGATTTTCGGAGAAAAAGTTTTAGAGAAATTGGAATAAAAAATTGTAGAAGCATTAATTTTTTAATTTTATTTAAATCTTAGATATTAGAAATCAAAGTGAAATTATATCTCCTGTATAAATCCTTTTATGAATTCAATATTGATATTTTTACTCCTAGGATTACGTAGAGGGTATGTGGTTGATGTTGCAGCAGGAGAAACCCGACGACTTCGTCCTCGCCACCGGGGAGATGCACTCCGTCAGGAAGTTTGTTGTGGCGGCCTTCAAACATATCGGGATGGAACTGGTGTGGGAGGGGTCCGGAGATTCTGAGATAGGAAAGGAGAAGGGAACTGGAATTATTAGGTACGAGAAATTAAGGAATACTTGTCCCTCATATTGGCTGGAATCAACATTCTTTGTCTCAAAAGAGATCATTCTTATGCAGACACATATATTCAGGGGTTTTAATGATAAAGCAAATGAGCATTGAGTATGTAGTAATAATGATCAACAGTAAGGACACACTTTTATGTAACATACATACATACACCCATACATACATTCATACACCCATCCATACATACATTCTTACGTACATACAGCTTTATATGATAGGACACTAGCTAGGCTCATTCCTAACTTCTGTAAGGGTACGGTTTAGATGTGAATTAATTTATCTAAAAACAGAACTGAATAAGTCTGGTCCTTAAACACTCGTACTTTACTGTATAATTAGTTTAAACATTTTTAAGAGTGTTTAAGAGGTTTAATTGTTTTAAAAATTCGTAATTTTGTTAATTCATTTCATAGTTGAGCTAGAAGGCAGGCTGTTACTTCTTACTAGGTCACGAATTGTATAGAGATATTATTACAATTATTTCATTAATGAAAATTTATTGTTCAGATTGAAGGTAAACCCTAAGTTCTACCGACCTACAGAGGTTGAACAGTTGCTCGGAGATCCAACTAAAGCAAAAACACAGCTGGGTTGGAAACCAAAGGTATATTTTATCCTAACTTCAAATCATCGTAGCTATGCTCAAATCTAAAAGATTTCCCTTATTTTTTCCAACTATTTGGCGCTATTTTGAAGTTTTTTTCAGTTGTTTTTCTTTTTATCTGTTCAAGAGTTCTTACTTTGATAAATCCCTATTTTAAATCCTTTCTCTTAGCTCTGCTCAAGGGATTTTTGAGGCTTATTTAATAAAATTATAGATAGATGTAGACTTTTTAAGACTAAAGACTGGAATTTTGAATCGATCTGTCATTTACGGTGGTCGGTGTGCTAATGGGTTGTGTCTGCTTACCCCTGTTTAAGCATCTTTAATATTTTTTCTACTTTAAAACTGTCTGTTTAGGTTCAGTTTGATGAGCTGGTAAAAGATATGATGGATGCCGATATTGAATTAATGAAGAAGAATCCATCCGCATAGGACCACTCGCTCGATTCTTGTCCTATCCTCTTCTCCCAGTTCTCATCCTTCTCATTCTCTTTAACCTTTTTCCTTTCCTACTCTTGGTCCTTTCTCCTCATCTCCTTCTCTTCCTTTCTCCCCTCCTACTCTTTATCCTTTCTCCTCTTCTCTTTATCAATTCTCCTTCTCTTCATCCTTCCTCATCTTCTTCTCTTTATGTTCCTTTCTCCTTATCTCAAATCCTTTCTCCTTATCCTTTATCATTTCTTCCCTCTTTCTCTTCATCCTTTCTCCTCTCCATCTATACTCTGTGTGCAATAACCGAATATAAATGAAAAATCAAAGAACAACTGATTACCAAAGACAAAATCATTCCGTGATGATTGAAGGTTTGAAAACTTCCTTATCATCTCCTCTAAGAACATGTTTTGTGATGACGTTGCATTTTTGTGTGATTTAATTTTTATCTATTTAACTATTTATTAATATATTTCTCACGTTTGTTACTTTTATTTATTTACTATTTGAGTATTTAACTTTAATACTTACTAAACAGCAAATTATTGATTATAGTTGAAGTCATGGACTTCCGAAGCCAATTTTGTCTCAAAACATCCCAAACTGACCAAATTGCTCCGAGTTAAATTAGGATTCTCTCAACATAAACATTAAATTAAAAAGTTTTAAATTTTCTATATTTTCCGAAGAAACGACCAAGTGACCGGAAAAGTTTGTCAAGACGGTAAAAAAGTCCAGATTTTCGATCCTTCCCAATAATTTTTTCAAATACTAACTATCCTGGCAGTGGCACAACAGGAAACCTTTCAGCCGAAAATTTGGGGAAGTATTTTTAAACAAATAATCTACATAAATTGCCTTTAACATTAGGGATAAGAGAGGTTAACTTGGTAGTTGGTACGCATTTCAGTGGAATCTTTACCTCTTGAATATGTTTTCTTAATTCTGTTGATTATATAGACTACTCAAATAGATCCCTACTGTTAAAAAAAAGTTGCATCAATTTTCAAGACTGGGTCAACTTTAGTGTCGCAACGGTGTTAAACTAACTTACTAATACTTTATTATAGTCCTAGTCATGTTCGTTTTAGAATTACAAACCACTTAGTTTAGCAAACTTCTCATCTTCTCATCGATTTTGGCTGAAGAGCTTGCAACCTTGAAATCATTGCTTACTGTTACGACTCGTTATGATATTTAAAATTTGATCCAATTCATCCAATGAACAATCATGATAAAACATTGTATTTGTCTAGTGTACACACAGACTCATTTCACGTAATGAGTTGATTTTTCGGAAAACAAATGGGTATTAAACATAGCTTACTTGACGTTTCTCGAAAATTAACCATTCTTAGACAAGTATTGAAATATTTTGAAATAACCACTGGCAACACTGGTTAGGTAGACATATTTTTAAACCAGTATTGGAAGATTTTGTATTAACCACGGGCAACACCGGTTAAGTAGACATATTTTTAAACCAGTATTGGAAGATTTTGAAATAACCACGGGCAACACCGGTTAAGTAGACATATTTTTAAACCAGTATTGGAAGATTTGGAAATAACCACGGGCAACACCGGTTAAGTAGACATATTTTTAAACCAGTATTGGAAGATTTGGAAATAACCACGGGCAACACCGGTTATATATTATATATTATATATAAACATTAACTTTTCTCGAAAAGGTTAAAATTTTATTCCATGAAGATTACATAATTGTGATTTACATGTTAATATTAACTAAATTCTATAAACAGTTAACACACTAGTCTACAAGTACAAAGAGATTCATTTAAGAAAACTGCTACTAACTCGACATTTCTTATTCAATAGAGGTCAATGTAATAATTTTAGATGGGGTTTCCAATGAAAGATTAGAAATTAGTAAAACTATTATTTTTTTGGTGATAATAAAATTTCTTTTATGTCTGACAAGAGAATTACCGCCATTTAAACCCACTGGCCTAATTCCTACTCTTGTCTGAAATCCTTACAAGTCAAGTAGAAAAATAAATTCATGCCTGAATGAAAATATCCATAGTTGCACGGTTACCAATCTGTAGTATTACAGTGATAACCAGAAAACTCTGAAATAGGAAGACGATTTTACAGCAATACTTAAGTGTAATTGATGTTGTTACAAAGCAAATAGTTTTACTATTCACATATTAAATCACAAATAATGTAAAATTGGTCTGTTTACTCTAAACAATTGTTGTATCCCATGAATATTGGACTATTTAAAGTCATAAATTAAGGGCAAAATAGTCTTACTATTCCAGAGTATTTTCTGGTTATCACTGTATTAATGAAGAATTGAAATTAAACAAAGCTAATTAAGGAATTAGCACATGAGCATATTTTCACGCTAAATCTCTTAGCAGAAATACCGAGTGAAATGGCTTTTTAATCCTCATATTATTGGTTTAATTTTGAATATTTTATATTTTTTAAACATTGTTGTAAATTGTTTAGAGAGGCTAAACTGAGGGCAGAGGGTAAGGGGGGGGGGGAGAAGAAATCTGATAAGAAAAAAAAATAAAACAATTTTTAGCAGTTTTAACCAAACCATGAACAAAATTCATTGCTGTAAAATTTACACAATAATTACAATAATTGAAAAATTGAGATTTAAAACTGACATTAATAATCGACTAAGCTAATAATATTTAAAAAGGTTTAGACTAACCTTAGAGAAATTGACATGCATGGTACATTTATACTTAGCTATTCATGTTTTCTAAGAAATTGATAAAAATATAAAAAATATAATTAAATAAAAGCAAAGAAAATTATGTCTTTGGAAGTATCTTTGTAAATTAAAAGCAATATAAAAGATGTTTCCAGCGTGTAAAATTTTCTTGCCTAAATTACTCTATATACAATCCTAAATGATGAAAAATCTGTGAAAGGAAGACATCTATTTAAATTCACTCGCATCAGATTCTATTCTCATCTCCTTCTTGAAGAATCCACTGGAGCTTCTCGACTCAACCATTGTTACCTACAGTTTTTAAAGGAATTGAGTTTATGACACAAACTCTGATATTCTAATCCCTATATCTTTGCAACTTAATGTCATAGACCCTTGAAGCTCTGAATAGATCAAATAATCAAAGTATTACACCATCAGGTTGCAAAGATAAAGGGATTAGAACATTACAATTTACAATTACATTACAATTACAAATCTAAATTCCTTTGTTTTAAATCTTTGATGAATTTGTATGAATTCAGGTTCAGGTACGTTTTAAACTTATGGTTTTTAAATATTGAATAATGCGTTACCAGGCTGGGATCTACTTTTTCATTAAAATCCTTTAGAAGAAAATGAAAAATTCTTTACTCACCGTATTTCTATTAGTATCCTGGGACATGTTCTCCGGTCTTGATTTCCAGTGGTCAGGTGGATACCATTCTTTTAACTAAATATATCAGGATATAGGATACACTTCGATTTATATGGTGGATACCACTTTTTTAACTATTTTGTGTTCAAGTTCTAAGATAAACCAATATGACATACGCCACGCAATGCGTACTTTGAGAAATGTCAGACATCTTTGGTAGGTAATAGAACCAAAAATTAAAAATATCGGTGAATCCTTTTTTGGGATAAGTCCATTTTTATTAAGTCGTAGAAATCTAATGCATTTTCAGGCCTCAAGTCAAATAAAATTGTAGTTTCTGTGCTTTTTGCGATATATTTTTAAACGTGAAAAGGAGGGCCCCCAAATTCAAAGCCCAAAGTCGCCTAACTACCTATGTACTGTCAGAAAAGTCTTTTTGGCGTAATTTTATATGATTTCACTCAAGTGACTTTGGACCGGGGTTTTGATTTTTGACTGCTAAAGAAAAGTGCAGAGGATTTGTAGGATAGGTATGGTGGATATCAATTATCATTTACCTGATAAATGTCCTCAATCTCATATTCTGAATCCTCGTCTGTGGAAGAATCTGTCGACGGTCCAGACGATTCTCCGGCCGAATCAGATTTCCTGTTTCCGATCGTCAGCTTTGAAATCGGAGTGGAGAGATTCATCTCTTCCTTCTTCCTTTCAAGGATCTCCTGAGCAATCTTCTTGGTGTCCTTAAAGGTGAACGGGTTGGATCTTTTGTGTGTCTCCATCTTGTTTTCGTCAGATTTACGTTTTACAAAAATAGATCTTTTCATCTCCTCCTTCTTTCCTCCGTCATCTTCGGAGGCAACACTGTCAGATTCACTCTCCATACTAAATATAAGGGGTACAGAAAGTACAGGAGATGCAAAGTATACAGGGAGTACAGCGGGCACAGGAAATATAGAGGAAACAAAGTATACAGAGGACATAGTAAATATATAGTATACAGACTAAAGAGGGCACAGGAGATACAGAGGGTACAAAGCTTACGGGAGATACAGAGGATAAAGAAGATACAGAGGATACAGGAAACACAGAAGATACAGAGGATACATGAAATACAGAGGATACAGGAGACTCAGAGGATACAGGAAATACAGAGGATACGGGAGATATAGAGAATACAGGAGATTTAGAGGATACATGAGATACAGAGGATACAGGAGACACAGAGGATACAGAGGATACATGAAATACGGAGGATACAGGAGACTCAGATGATACGGGAGATACAGAGGATACGGGAGATATAGAGAATACAGGAGATTTAGAGGATACATGAGATACAGAGGATACAGGAAATACAGAGGATTCTGGAAATACAGAGGATACAGGAGATACAGAGGATACAGTAGATACAAAGAATACAGGAGATTTAAAGGATACAGGCGATACAGAGAATACAGAGAAAATAGATAGAGGATACAGAAGATACAGAGAATACAGAGAAAATAGATAGAGGATACAGAAGATACAGAGAATACAGAGAAAATAGATAGAGGATACAGGAGATACAGAGAATACAATGAAAATATATAGAGGATACAGGAGATACAGAGAATACAGAGAAAGTAGAAAGATGATAAACCCGATACATACAGAATAGGCGAGAACGAGGATAAAAGAGAACCGCGGATAAGATTAGATAATTCGATGTAAAAAACGAAGAATAATTCATGTGTAAAGATTGGAAAACAGGACTCTCAGAAAATATTAAAGATTAAGATTACAGAAAGTCTACAGAAACACACTAGGCAATATGGAGAATCAAAGGGATTCAGTGGATAGCGTGAAAAATGTGAATTCAAAAAATATTTTATTATTTAATCAAATCTTACCAAATCTCCAGACGTTTGTTCTTCAGTACCGGAGTATCGTCTACATCCTGATCCAGGAGCCGACTCTCGAAAGTTCGATCAGAATTCGGGGATTTCTTGATCGCTATCCCGATCTTAGCTTTCTTAGTTCCATCTTCTCTATAGTCACTGCAACTGCTACCACTCCGCCTAAATTATTTATATTATTTAAGAAGTGTAAAAACAATTGTTTTTCAGCATATGACATATGTAAGACATGTTAATACATTAATTTTTTAAGGGGCTTTTAAACAGTCTAAATTTAGAAAGTAGCTTTAACTGACATTTAATGTAAAGATGGCAATGTATTCCCAACGAAACCCTTGAAACCTTAATTTGATCAATAATGTTGAAAATATTGTTATTTTTCTAAAACTAAAATTTATTTTCTGGCGAAATACACAAGTTTCTTTGTAGAGAAACCTAAATTAAAAATAATCAAAAAGTCTTTAAAATGATAAATTTGATATATATTTCATACTTGATCAGACAAAGCTTTCACGGGTGTCCGGGTAAAGTTGGGAGTCTGACATTGCCATCTTTGCATGGAGGTTCAATTGCAATTACGCATACAGGCCTTTTAAAAGGTATGAACTATTTTAAATTTTTTATACGTATGAACTAATATAAAATAATATAAAAAGTTCCATTTTAAAAAAATTGGATATATTATTTCAGCAGTAAATTTATAATTTTTATTGTCAGAAAATGATAGGCTAATCCATACATTCAAAAGCTCATTGTAAAAATTGGAAATAAAATTCCAAGGATAGAAAGTTATGAAATAAGTTTGTTCTCCAACAAAACTCTTGTCTTCTAAACTTCACAATACTCAATTCCAGTCTAGCTTGAGTTAGGGGAAGGAGATAATGGCTTAAAACAGACAATTTACAAATCAATACTTCTTCTTAATTTGTTCAAGCGATTTTTTAGAAAAATGCCAGAAAAAGAAAAGAAGAGGGTAAAGAATAGTTGGTTTCTATAAAATTCTTACAAAAATTACAAGAAATGTTACACGAAAAAGAAAAAAGAAGGCCATGAACAAAAATGGGCACAAAACCATCACAAATATGAAATAAATATTTTGAAAACATATAAAATAATATATTTATATTTATCTCTATTAGGCTGATGTAACGTAAGAAAAAGTAAGAAAAATAAAAGGTTCAAAGAATTGATGTAATGTAATACAACTTTCTAGACGATTAATATGTCTTTTATTATGGTTTACAAGTTTCAACAAATATAAAACACTCAGTTCGCCAATAACAGACCCCCCCCCCCCCCCCCCCCCAAAAAAAAGTATTTAAATAGTTTCTAGAAAAAGCCCCAATACAATAAAGGGAAAGTTACGGGGATCCTCAGATGAATTTTACTCCTCTCTCTTCCCAAACAAAATAATTAATGAATTTTTTTTGAAATTATTGTAAACATACTTTTTCTTTATTTAAAATGCAGTTCTTGTTTCCATCTTTAATGAGAAAATCAACTTACTTTTGGTCTGGACTGAGAGCTCCCCTTGGGCTGACAGATTTATCCTTCCTTTCCCTCGTAGGACTTAGATTCTTTACTCCGATACTTAGAGGTTCCTTGATCCTAGGACTGATGGATGCGTTCTTCGGTCTAAGACTAGCTGGAGGCTCCTGTATCCTGGGACTAGCAGGGACTTCTTTTATTCTGGGGCTCGCAGGTTCTTTCATTCTTGGACTTGGAGCTGTCTCTTTTATCCTTGGACTTAGAGACGAGTCCTTGATCCTAGGACTTAGTCCAGGATCCCTTGAGCGTGGACTCATTGATGGGTCTTTAATCTTGAGAGATAAACCTAGATCTTTTATCTTGTTAGGTTCGTGGTTCTCCAAGAGTTGATCAAACCTCTGGCTGATCCGAGTCAGGTCATCTTGTCCTTTGCGGGGGCTTTTTATACCAGGACCTGAAATTAAAGTTTGTTGTCCAGCTAGTTTTCTCTCTGCTAATAATGGTTACTTTTTATGATTTATGAATGGAAATTAATTAAATATTTTTTGTATAACATCTATCCGTCTACATTTATTATTTTTATTTATTATATGTTTTTATTACATAATTTCAATGCAGTACTTTATCCACTGATCATCCTTCATACATATTAAAACATTACATTAGGTTCAAAATATACTACTTATCCCTCTCTAGCCTCTACATCTTAACTCCTGCTAATTGTATAAATCTTTCATATTTAAAAATTTAACTATTAGCTTTAACAGGATTCATAGTTTGAACTATTAAAGGTATACGACATCAGGTTGCAACAATGTAAGGATCAAAAATGTAAAGAATATGAGGAGCGCAATTAGTTCCTTTAAATACTTCCTGCAAACCACACATAAGCTTAGAAGCTTAAAATCTCAAATTATAAAATGATGAATATAATAGTAAAAGAATAAGGACAGAATAATTTAATTTTAAAGTGAGCTCAAAAACGGAGTTAAGAGGACCCTTGACAAACCTTGAAAAAATTATCATTCTTACCTGGAGTATTAGATCTGCTACTTGGAGGTGTATCCTCTTCAGAACTATCCGAGTCCTTGTGAGATTTAGTCCCGGAGCTCTTGTGTCTCTTCCTCTTCTTCTCCTTCTCCTCATACCTCTTCGGAGGTTTAGGATTTCTCCCGGACAGGGTTTGCATCAGGAACGCAGGTTTCGGAGATTCCTCCTCCTTCTCCTCCTCACTAGACTCGGAGTCATCCTCTTTAGTTTCCCGACCCACACTCTTAGCTCTCTTTCGTCCGTCCTTCTCTTCTTTTTTGACCGGTTTCCGCCCTCGTTTCAGGGCAGCAGCTTCAGCTACAGATACTATTTTAGCAGCTTCCTTCCTGACAAACTGCTGAATAAGACGAGGATCTAGAATGTTCTCCTCTGGTTCCCAGGTTGAGAATCTAGAAACATAAATCATGGTTTAATTAAGTCCCGAAAATACCAGATTGATGAAAGAATCTTAACCGTTTAATTCTTTATTTCTGTGCTATTTGAATCCAGCTTTAGCTCCCACTGTACACAATTATATAGACTTGATCTAGGTGGACTTATATTTCAAACAAGATATGAAGCGTTGAAATCACTGAAAACCATGTTCAACTGTCCAGGATTAGCCAACTCTATCCTAGTATTGTTAAAGAATATAATTTTTAATAAAAAAAAAATGAATTTGACTGGAAAATAACAATTTCAAACTGAATGACTGATAACATTTAGAAAACTAAGTCATCCCTGAAAAATTCTTATTCTCAAGATTTGCACCGGAAATTCTTGAGTTAAGGTTCATGTTTTGTCAGAAAAGCCCCCCCCCCCCCCTCCCCTACCTCTCTCCCCATACCCCTGCTGATAATCATTATAAAAATGTTTGTAGTTACATGTTATAGGTTCTTACTTTGAACAGAACGCGACGGTGGGAATGAAAAGTGAAAAAAAAACCGGTGGAATGAACGTCAACAGAACGGTGGGAATAAACTTGAAGATAATAGTGGGAATGAGCGTCAACAGAACAGTGGGAATAAACTTGAAGAAAACGGTGGGAATGAACGTGAGCAGAACAGTGGGAATAAACTTGAATAGAACGGTGGGAATGAACGCTAACAGAACAGTGGGAATAAACTTGAAGAGAACTGTGGGAATGAACGCGAACAGAACAGTGGGAATAAACTTGAAGAGAATGGTGGGAGGTAGGAATGAACGTCAACAGAACAGTGGGAATAAACTTGAAGAGAACGGTGGGAATGAACGTGAACAGAACACTTGGAATAAACTTGAAGAGAACGGTGGGAATAAACTTGAAAAGAACGGTGGGATTCAACGTGAACAGAACAGTGGAAATAAAATGGTGGGAATGAAAGTTAACAGAACAGTAGGAATGGAAATAAACAGATCGGTGGGAATGAAAGTTAACAGATCGGTTGGAATAAACATGAACAGAACAGTAGGAAAGTGAACAGAACGATGGAAATGAAGTGAACCGAAGCAAATGGTATGGAGGGAATAACAATGGTATGGAGGGAATAACAATGGTATGGAGGGAATAACAATGACCGAACGATATAAATAAAAGTGAAGAACAAGGAGGAGGTGGAATCAAATGGAACGGTGATAATAATAGAGAATAGAAAGTTGGAAAACCAATGTGGGAATGATTAAACTGAAGAGTAGGGATGAATTGATACAATCGAAGGTAGGGAAGTCATCAGTGGGCATAAAATAAGCTGGACTTATTGAAAAGAAAGTAAACTGAATTAACGGGGAATAAAATTGAACAGAAGGATGGGATTAAATTAACCAGGAGGATGGGAATGAAAATAAGAAGACGAATGGGATTGAAATTAACCAGAAGGATGGGAATGAAATTAACCAGAAGGATGGGAATGCAATTAATCAGAAGGATGGGAATTAAATTAAATAGAAGGATGGGAATGAAATTAACCAGAATGATGGGAATGAAATTAACTAAAGGATGGGAATGAAATTAACCAAGAGGATGGGAATGAAACTAAGGAGACGAATGGGAATAAAAGACTGCAGAGTGCAGAGTAGTAATCTAAATACCTTGGGCTCCAGCCTTTCCATTTAACCAGGTATTCAGTTTTCCCTTTCTTAATTCTCTTCTTGGTTATTGCTTCAGCGGCAAACACCTACACGAATAATCATTAAACCATTTGTATACATAAGTACATAATTTGTTGTACAGTTATACACTTATACATCCAGAGATCGACAACATTGAATCCGAGATTTTTAAATTGGGTCGCCCCTATTGAACTATACTTAGCTTTAAAAAGTGTGCAAAAGTAAATTCATTTTACAACTTTGTTACTTTTTTTTTAAATGAGGAAAAAAGTTTTACCTGATCTCCTAGTTCATGATCTTCCATGGTCTGCATTCTAAACAAAAAAAAATAGAAGTGAGTTATCCCGTTTCTTTGTGTAAATAAGGTTGAGTTGTAATTTTAAGGATTTTCCACAAAAATTACCGGAGGGCCATTAAGAATGAGACAATATCCCAAGAATGTAAGGCAAGGAAAGTCAATTGCGGTTGTGTATACTCTGCGTACATATTGAAACCAGTTCTCTCTGGGCGGAATTTGTAAACAATAATAGATGCATCAGTGTTCGTTTAGTATCCGAGGAGGTTAAAAGCATTACATTTTGATAATTTTGATAATTTTGATAATTCACATAATAGTTTCCTATGACCAGAATATTTCATTGATTTTTTATGTGAATGATGGATCCCATGTCAGACTTCAACATCCGTCTTGTGTTTACATTAGCGCCCAGAGACAGTACACTGCAGTAATAAAGATATGTACACTTCTGAAATGACTTTCCTTGCCTTACATCCTTGCAATATCCTATCTTTATTTTGTTGAAATACAAAATGGAAGCAACTAAAAATTGATTTTAGTAAAGCTTCTCTTTAAAGAATTGTTCTAACGGACGAACTAGTTTGTTTACCCCCCTGGGTCTCATAACTTGTAACAAAGTATACGAATACAATATTTTATAGAACCAACATATTTAGTATTATTTACCAACAATATAATACAGTAAAATAATATTATTATAAACAAATAAATTTTGTTCATAAAACTTAAAATATCTTAAATCTAAAATATTTTTTTTATAATTTATTTGATCAAGAATCAATAAATATTAAATAACTTTCAGTTTAACTTAACAAAAAAAGTTTGATTAAAAACACATGGGATGAGACCTGTCCCAAGTGAAAGCTGGATATCTGTTGGACTTATTTTGACATTTTTTTTAAATTTGATCAGCTCCTTCTTGGTAGTTATAGACCATTTTTGGGACACCCGAAATACAGAATAAAACTCCTCTGCGATATCTTTTTGTCGCACAAGATAAAACGTTTACAATCACAGTTTTAGATTACAGAGAACTTTCTCAGCAGTTTTTAAAAATATTGACCCTTACTCGCTCTGGAGAAAAACGTGTTTTTTCTCTTTCTGTCATAATGACCTCAATTGAATGTTGTTTCAATAAGAACATGTTTTTGTTGATATTTTCTTTATCTTGAAAGATTTAATAAAAAGTATTGAAACACTTGTAAAATCCATGGTTCAGGAAACTTACTCCAAGGTTCAAATGATGAAGTCATTTGTTTAGATGATAAACCAGTAATTAAGGTGAAAATTCAAAGGTTTAGATGATAAACTTTTAGGTTTCGATGATAAATCCACGATTCAGGTGAATAACTAAAGCAAATGTTTGAATATAAACTACAAGGTTTGAATGAAAACTACATGGTTTAGTTCATAGCTAGTCCCCTCCTGACTCCTAGTTGGGAATGAGGGGGGCAAAAAGTTACAGAAATGTTTAAAAAATAGTAAAAACCCTTAGTTCTGATTAGCTTTGATTAATCCAAGCAGAGATTAAATTTGCTTGATTGACTTTAGCCAGGACAATTAGTAGAAACGCAACCGAGATTAAAGAATAAAAGTTTTTAGGACAAAAACGATTGACAAATATTTGATTTCTCTGACGATTGTTTCTTTTTAAATAAACATTGGATTTTAAAGTTCTTAAGTACCGATCAAAACAAAGCTAATTATTTATTATCAATTTGTAAAATAAACCTAACTTGTGTCAAGCAATGAAATGTTCACAACCTTCTCACAATTAAATGTACACTTTCAGTTTTTAAACCATGACTAGAATTCCGTTCCCGGCGTTATGTTGGGGTGTATGGATTCCAGCTCCGTTGAAACCGGAGTTATGTTTTGGGGTGTATGGATTCTAGCTCCGTTGAAACCGGAGTTATGTTGGGGTGTATGGATTTTAGCTCCGTTGAAACCGGAGTTATGTTGGGGTGTATGGATTCCAGTTAACGAGTGGGAGACTTATTGATAACTCCACGAAACCAACTTCAGTTCTCTTTAAACAGGGGAGGGGGAATCTAGCCTAGTTAACCATACATACGCAATGCATAATAATATTCGTGCAACCACAAAAATAATAAGGAATTACTTAAGAATTTGCATTGCTTAGCAATTAAATTAGTTTTAATAGGTTTTGACAGTTTTAAATGTACACAATGTTTCATGTTTGAACTATTTCATATATTTCATGTTTAAAAAGTTGATATCATTCATAAAAATAACATGATTAAATATTTTAACTTTAAGAGGTAAAAAAATGACAAAGCCGAATTGCCTAATTAACTACAAAATGAGAATACAAGAGAGGGTACAAGGTGCAGTGTTAGTTTAACTAGTAGAGAGTTAATAGATTAGGGTACAAGGTGCAGTGTTAGTTCAACTAGGAGAGTTAATAGATGATATTTAATATAGTATTAAATAGGAGTATATTTTGGAAACAAATTGGGAGTTATTTAACTGCAAAGTGGGAGTGAATTTGGCAAGTGGAGGGAATTAAGTACTACGTGGGAAACATTAAAAACAAGTGGGAGTAGTTTGATCACAAAGTGGAAGTAATTTTAGCACAAAGTGCAAATATACAATAGAAACAAATTAGTATAATTCAAAGTGGGAGTGAATTAAGTACAAAGTGGGAGTATGTTATGGAATTTAAAACGTGCAAAAGTACAAAGTGAAAAGTGAGGAGCGGGCGTAAGTACAGAGAAAAGTGGAACTTTACCAAGCGTAAATTGGGCGTGAATTAAGCACAAAGTGTATATTATGGAAAGTGGGAATTTTTACAGTGCAAAGTGTGTGGGAATTATGTATACAAAGTGTGATTCTATTAAGTGCAAAGTTGGATTCTATTAAGAACCGAATACTTTTATATATTATAATGAGGGGGTGTATCCACAATATCATGATTGGAAAAGTTAGTGTAAGTAGATATTAATATGGGTTTATGTTGTCGAGTTACATAAAGGTTTTACATATTTTATTAGAAACAAGTAGCTTATGTAAGAACAATATTTGAAAAAATAATGCATTTCAGATTATGTACCCCGAGATCGGAACTTTTGCTTGAACATTGTTAATCTTGAACGCTAAACCTCGATATCCAATGTTTTCACTTTTAAATTTGAGGATCAATGCTTAATATCTCAATTAAATCCATCTTGGGATTTCGAACAGGAATTAGATTAATCCGAAGCTCTGGATAAGATAAGGATTAATGCTTAATCCCAAGATTCCCAAACCAAAAGTTGCGACCCCTGATAAACTGATTTCCCCGGACAATGTTAGAATTATTATTAATGATATTTACAATTTATATTATGCTCTAACCAGCCCTTAACACAACCACATTCTATAGTCAAACATTTTTATGTATTTGGCCTCTAGTTAGATTTGAATTCCTTGAAATAATCTTAAATAGTGTGTACTACTAGACATTATACACTATGTACTACTAAACTTTATACACTGTGTACTGCTAAACTTTATACACTGTGTACTACTAAACATTATACAGTGTGTACTACTAGACATTGAACAGTGTGTACTACTAAACATTATACAGTGTGTACTACTAAACATTATACAGAGTGTACTACTAAACTTTATTCAGTGTGCACTACTAAAAATTAAACAGTGTTTACTACTAAACATTATACAGTGTGTACTACTAAACATTATTCAGTGTGTACTACTAATAATTAAACAGTGTGTACTACTAAACATTATACAATGTGTACTACTAAACATTATACAGTGTGTACTACTAAACATTATATAATGTGTACTACTAAACATTATATAATGTGTACTTCTAAACATTATACAGTGTGTACTACTAAACATTAAATAATGTGTACTACTAAACATTATACTGTGTGTACTACTTAACATTATATAATGTGTACTTCTAAACAATAAACAGTGTGTACTACTAAACATGATAATTCAAAGAAGATTAAGTATATTTCATTTATTCTAAATTCTAGCTTGGGAACCCAGTATTGCCTAAGTTTTGATTGGTCAATGGACATACAAAAAAATACTATTTTATAAATGTAGATGTATAAAAAGCATAAATAAGTTGAATCTGCTCGCAAATAATATTTTACATAAAGGTATGTTTTCTTTTACTTATTTCACTATTCAAAATCAGGAATGCATATCATTATTCAATATGGTAATGTTCAATGGGAAAACTAAATAATTGGAGCATTGTGAGAAAGATATTTTAAAGACTTCTTAATAAATAGTAATCCAACCCCTATCACTGTGAACTGAGGTCAAATTTATGCAACATTACTGTTGACTGTTTGACCTCGTAGCTCTTCAAGTATGAGAAAACCAAATTTATTAGAAATTCTTCACATTTCTTTCCCATATTAATTCCTAGTATGCTTTTACTTATTTTTACAAATGTTTTACAATTCTAATAAAACATTTTATCATTTCCCCCTTTATCGCTAAATACAGCCAAGTTTTCCAAATTAATTAAGAATAATGCAAAGTATCTTCAGGACTTTTGATGAGGGAGGGGGGNATACACTGTGTACTACTAAACTTTATACACTGTGTACTACTAAACTTTATAAACTGTGTACTACTAAACTTTATACACTGTGTACTACTAAACTTTATACACTGTGTACTACTAAACTTTATACAGTGTGTACTACTAAAATTTATACACTATGTACTACTATACTTTTTACACTGTGTACTACTAAACTTTATACACTTATATTAGTTCTAACAGATCAACCTTAATTTATCGCACTGTTCAAGTTTAATATCAGACACAATCAGACTTGAACCTTACTGTAAACGATTGATAATAAACTAAGAAAGCGGGAAAATCAAAATTTTAGATCTTTCAAACGACTGTTATCTTTATATTTAGGAGAAAAGGCCTACAGCCAATCAATTAAAAAAAACATGTCAAAACGACGACTACAATAAGGGTAGAATAGACCCAATAATTCATTTTCGTAAAAATACCAATTTTAAAAAATGAGAATCACGTGAACTTAGTTTTGAATGATAATTGCAACAATGACAGTACTCCCCGCATATTATTAGCATGCTGGTGACAATAGAAAAGTATACAATTATTATGTTTAAATCAATACATCTATGAATTGCGTGTAGTATAGTGAGGGGGTGGTATGAGCAGGGGATATTTGTAAGGTAAAGCACAGTGTGGAAGGAGCAGGGTAATAAACCTCAAACTAATGCCTTGATACATTAATCAGAACCTAACACTAACTTGACTAAAATTATAAATATTTCAGAATGCACAAACTAAAAGAAATCAAGGTTCATCAGACTGAAATTAGAAATCAGAAATACCAGAACAATTTCTTTATTTTGTTTTAAACATATGGTTTTCAAGGCACTAACAATCAAAGTTTCACAAACCCCCCGGGCACAACCTTTTCATCAAAGTTCCAAAAACCACTCTTGAATGACCAGAAACCCGGGCACAATCAATCAATCAATCAATCAATCAGTTTCAAAAACCCCTCTTTAATGACCATAAACCCGGGCACAATCAATCTATCAAAGTTTCAAAAACCCCTCTTGAAAGACCAGAAACCCGGGCACAATCAATCAATCAAAGTTTCAAAAACCCCTCTTGAATGAACAGAAACCCGGACACAATTAATCAATCAAAGTTTCAAAAACCCCTCTTTAATGACCAGAAACCCGGGCACAATCTATCAATCAAAGTTTCAAAACCCCCTCTTGAATGACCAGAAACCCGGACACAATCAATCAATCAAAGTTCCACTAACCCCTCTTGAATGACCAGAAAAGTAAAGAATGAATGAACTCAGACGAAACGTGAAAAAGAACTAAATGTCTAGAACTGGTCCTACGTCGGATCATGAATCAACAACCTGCCGATCTCGATTAAGATGGCAAATTAGAACAGATATTCAACATCCGGGAAAGGAGTCAGATGATCGACGCTGAGGTAGATTGATCTGGAATAGGTGGAAAAAGTAAACTAACTAAACATGTGATGTTTGATACAGAAGTCTTCATGGATTAAGATGATGACTTCAGTATTATGGTTGACACTGATGATTCTTCAGATGAAAAGTAAGTTTACTTAAAAATATTTTTTCACCAGAAATTAAAAAAAGGTTTACTTCACCTATTATCTTACTGTTTAATAAATTGAGTTCTTAATTTTGATTCTCAACTATTTCTGACATAATCATGGTCTTGTGTTTTTTTAAAAAATGACGGAAACAAATTATTTTGGCAGAAAACTAAATTTTCGAAAAAAAAAATAATTTGAAGTTTTTGGATTGGATATGGAATCAGGAACCATTTGAGAATATCAAAATAAATAAAATAATTATTTGAAGCATTTCATTAATAAATTGAAGAGAAAAATAATTACATAATCTATACAATTAATCCAGGAAAAAAGAAGCAGAAGATAAAACTGAATCTGGTAAAGCTAGATATAGATGGAACCTAGTTTATCTAGTTAAACAATCAGATACCAAGGCAGATCAAACTGCTAAAAAAGAAAAACTCAAGGTGATTTTAAAATTCATGGAAAATAACTTATTTTTTTCAGTTGAAGTTAAAATGTTGTTTAAAACTTAAATATTCTTCTTCTTTACAGATAAAAAGAAATTGGTAAAAAACGTCTTTTAAGATTATGAAATGTTAAATCTGTCCTACACAATTTAACCTAAAAAAATATTAATAAGTATATTTAAAGCGACTAAAATACCAACCAAGTTTAAAAATAAGTTTATTATATTGTTATATTTATTAGGAAAGAACAGATGAATGGGTGAAATATATTGTTTAGGAAAGAGTAAATGAATGGATGAAATATATTGTTTAGGAAAGAGTAAATGAATGGATGAATTATATTGATTAGGAAAAAGCAGATGAATGGATGAATTATATTGCTTAGGAAAGAGTAGATGAATGGATGAATTATATTGATTAGGCAAGAGTAGGTGATTGGATGAATTATATTGTTTAGGAAAGAGTAGATGAATGGATGAATTATATTGTTTAGGAAAGAGTAGATGAATAGATGAATTATATTGATGAATTATTTTGTTTACGAAAGAGTANAGGTAATCTTACAAGTTTTTTACCTCTGATTCTACCCCCCTGATTCTCCCGTAATTTATGTTTTCCAACATATTAGGCTCAACGGTAAGCATTTAATCCCCCATCAACTTATTATTATTTATTTCGAGATTGATCCTGCATGATAAGTCTTGAATACAGGAGAAGGTTGATGAAGGAGTAGTAGAATCAGTTAAACTAAACTCTAGATCAACTAAAACAAGTGTTGTGGATATAAAGTACAGTCTAGGTAAACCTCTAAAAATTACATTTAGCAAATTAACATGTTTCATCTAAAATTTCTAAAACTGATAATCCTCTTTTGTGATCATTTTAAACTTTGTATCCCGCCCCATGAATCAACAACCTGCCGATCTCGATTAAGATGGCAAATTAGAACAGATATTCAACATCCGGGAAAGGAGTCAGATGATCGACGCTGAGGTAGATTGATCTGGAATAGGTGGAAAAAGTAAACTAACTAAACATGTGATGNAGAAAAAATTCCTGAAAAAAAATTTAAAAAAATAATTTTCTTATTTTTAAACATTAGAGAAAAACTCTAGTTTAACGGAGTTAGGAATGACAAAGAGTGAAGAGTCCCAGATGGAAAGAATCCGTAAGAGAGAAGAGGCTCAGCAGGTTCGAGAGAGAGAGCTGATCCTGAGTGGAAAACTGAAACCTGACAACGATTACTTAAAAAATGATAAGTTCTCCCAACTCCATAAACAAATGGAAGATATAAAGACATTTCACAAGAAGAAAAGTGTGAATGTGAAAAGAAAACCGTCCACAAAAGTTCGGTGGCAGTACGTCGTTCATAAACTACATATTAACACTGATACAAACGGAGATGGTGAGACAAACCACTCCGAGCCTGAAACTGCAGTGGAGGGGTTAAAACTAGAACCGAAGAAAGAGAATGTTAAACCAGTTACTAAGAGAGCAAATCCGATTTATTCTGCGTTTGAAAACGTGTACGATGTTGATGATCTATATAGAATCGCAGATTCATTGGTTAATTCAACATTTGAAGAATGAAAAATCAGGAAAAGAAGATTCTTTCTTGTTAATCAGCATTTTTATCTGACAACAGCAAAAATTTAGATAAATCAGCAACTGTTGCCTTAACTTGGCAAAGATCATGACAATCTTTCTTATATTGGGTTGAACCAAATCCCGTCTAGTTAAAGGTCTTGTCTAAATGATACTTATATCCTGATAAACACTGTTCTGAATAGAATTTTTATCTAGAGACGTGTATATTTTATAGATCCTCTTACAATTCTTAAATATTTATATTTATTCTTAATTGTTTATGTAGAATAGCACTTATCAAAAATATTTCCATCTTTACTATGCATCAGAGCGCTGGTCGCAAATTATCTATTTATAACTAATTGTACTGTATTTAAACTAACAGTTGAAATATGTCTAAAGTAGGGAGAGAAATAAAATATAAAACTAAAATTCATAAATCTAATTTTAAGAATTTTGAGCTTGTTATTACGTAAATTATAAGTAAAAATTAAACGTAAAGAAGAAAGCTGCATAATTTCAGTGTCAAATCTTTTTTCTCGGCAATGGATACGGAAAAAAAGTAAAGTGGCCCCTTGTTAACAATTGTCAACAAATTGAATGTAACTCATTCCTTTCTAAATAAAATATTTTATTGAAGCTGGAATTCAAGATATTAACATGGCATAGAGACATATACTCTCTCAGTTACTTTTATGATCAAAAGCTTTTGTATTTGTAAGATAAGTATGACTTAATATAATAAAGATATCAAATATATATTCAACCATGTGGCCGCAGCGCCCGGCCCCCTAGCTTGTCCTAGCCGCGGCGCTCAGCCCCTACCTGTCATAGCCGCAGCGCTCGGCAACCTATCATGTCCTAGCCGCAGCGCTCGACCCAGAAAGTGTCTTAAGGGGGGAGGGGGTCCAAAAATCGTATACTAGAACGGACCCCAATATAAGCGACCAACAAACAGCCTCTCCTCTTAAACATTTACCATTTTGCACTGATAAGCAATATTTCTTAGGTCGGAGCCTACTGGAGATCGCACTGCAAAAAATTATAGGGTCTGATGTAAATTTCCATAAAGAAAAATGTACAAATTGGCAGGAGATCTAGTGGGGACCCACTTTTAGTTTACTAAGATAATATCTAGTCTTAAAAACCAGTCGCTCATTTCAGTTTAGTTAGTTTATCCGTGGTTTGCATCCAACGGATTAAGTGATTCAGACCGCGACGTTTGCCATAACATTACCCCAGGAGATGGATTACAATCAGAATAAAGAATGTCTTTTACGTTAAATTAATTCGTAAATTTATGAACATTGATAATCTTTAAAACAGAATAATATACGAACGAAGGATGGGCGCAAAGCACTCCTTAAAAGCTAATTAAACATAAATAATCCTAAATATTAGTAAAATCTCAATACTATACGATGAACAGTAATTTATTAATACATTCTTATATCTACACTTTACGTTTAAAACTGTGTTTGTTTGANTTCGCTTTGTTCGTTTTTATATTTCTTGTTACTTGCCAACATAACATTTTCTTTTGTACCTTGTACACATCCTTGCTCTGCTGTAATATGTTTTTTTTTTTGATCTTCTGTCTGTTTACTTTCTTGATCTTCTGTAACCTTTTTACCTTCCTGATCTTTTTCAGATACAACTCTCTAGGTTTTTCTATTAATCCTGAGTCCTGAATATTATAAATTAATTCGAATATTGGCTTAAAGAATCCCTCCCCTGTTGCGGTCCTGCAGCATTTGTCTCAGACTCTAGGATATCACGTCTTCCATGTCTTACGTACACTGAACGTAAGACATGGAAGTCGTCGTACACAAACCTGAAGAAACCAAACAAGGTTTTAAGACTGAGATTATCCACAGTTCACTTTTAACTTATAATTATACTTGAGATTGAATTATTTTACCTTCCCTGATTACCACCCATCGGACCTATCCTCATTCCGGTCAAAGCTCTGGTTGCGACTTCTATTTATATATATATAACACCCTAAACTTTTATTAATACAAAATAATAAAGTAGCTAAACTTGTATGATATTTTGTGTGTAGTATAGGGGTTAAGCAAACATTGTTGCAAATACTTTTCATCATTCACGTAAATTTCTCCAAAAGACCAGAAACTTCTGAATTAGCAGGATCTATTTTCAAAATGCGGGAACATTCTTCTTTCAGCTCATCTACCCTCCCCACCTCCTGCATACACCTGAAATATTTAATCATTATCGGTTAAGAAAGACTAGTTAGAGACGTGACCTGCAGGGTCGTATTGAAGATCTGAATAATACGTATTATTTGTAAGATGGTTTTGAAAAAAAAATGAAATGTTAAATGATGATTTGAAGATTAATTTAATTTTTAAAACTCACCTTGCTCTCAATATTCTAAACTCGATTTCAGTTTGTTTTATTATTTTGAATTGTTCTAAGCTTTTTGGTACTGTGAGTTCAGCCTGCTTTATACCATTAGAGAACGCCCACTCAGATTTCTACAAAATATTTATCTCAACCGGTATATAATAGCAATTGATAAATTTTTTATTATATATTTGTTCACCTTATTGTTACCCTTAGAAGCGTACATGTGCCCGAACTGCTTGTAATTATTGAAAACCTTCATTTTATTATTGAACTCTTGATCTTGAACATGTTTTTCTAGGTTTAAAATATCACATTTTAGAACTCTCAGTCCATCAAGATTAGTGTAATCGTTCTCTCCGTCCATCCTCTCTGCTGAGTTTAATAGAGAAGGTTCTAAAGAGGCTTTAGTGGAGGATTCAGGTGCATTTGTAGGGACGGGGTTGGTAGTGGATTTTGATGGAATATTCTCAGAGTTTACACAAGAGCTAATGGAGTTGATTTTTGGTTTATCATGATCTTGATCTTTTATATGGTTCATTTTGTTTGTATATTGTTCTTCAATTGAATTTTCCTTTCCTTTGATTTCTTTTTCTCCTTGTTTTTCTTCGCTTTGTTCGTTTTTATATTTCTTGTTACTTGCCAACATAACATTTTCTTTTGTACCTTGTACACATCCTTGCTCTGCTGTAATATGTTTTTTTTTTTGATCTTCTGTCTGTTTACTTTCTTGATCTTCTGTAATCTGTTTGCCTTCTTGATCTTCTGTAATCTGTTTGCTTTCTTGATCTGTTTTGTTTTCTTGATCCTTTATAATCTGTTTGTTTTCTTGATCCTTACTAATCTGTTTGTTTTCTTGATCCTTACGAATCTGTTTGTTTTCTAGATCCTTCATAATCTCTTTGTTTTCTTGATCCTTTATAATCTGTTTGTTTTCTTGATCCTTCATAATCTGTTTACTTTCTTGATCCTTTATAATCTGTTTACTTTCTTGATCTCTTACACTCCGTATACTTTTTTGATCTTCTATAATCTGTATGCTTTCTTGTACTACTGTAATCTCTTTGCTTTCTTGATTTTCACGTAGCGGTTTACTTTCCTCATCTTCTGTAATCTGTTCACTTTCATGATCTTTTAAAATCTGTTTACTTTCCTGATCTTCTGTAATCTGTTTGCTTTCTTGATCCTTTATAATCTGTTTGTTTTCTTGATCCTTTATAATCTGTTTGTTTTCTTGATCCTTTATAATCTGTTTGACTTCTTGAACTTGTATAATCTGTTTACTTTCTTGATATCTTAAACTCTCTATACTTTTTTGATCTTCTATAATCTGTATGCTTTCTTGTACTACTGTAATCTCTATGCTTTCTTGATTTTCACGTAGCGGTTTACTTTCCTGATATTCTGTAATCTGTTTACTTTCATGATCTTTTCTAATCTGTTTGTTTTCTTGATCCTTTTTAATCTGTTTGTTTTCTTGATCCTTTATAATCTGTGTGACTTCTTGAACTTGTATAATCTGTTTACTTTTTTGATCTCCTATACTCGGTATACTTTTTTGATCTTCTTTAATTTGTTTATTTTCTTGATCTTCTGTAACCTTTTTACCTTCCTGATCTTCTATAATTGGTTTAATTTCTTTATTTTCTAATATCTCTTTACTTTCTTGATCTCTTATTCTCTGGTTACATCTTTGATCTTTAGTATTTTGCATTTGTACTTGTGCTTCTGTATTCTTTACACCTCCTTGATCTTCTGTATTCTTGTAATTCTCTGTACTTGGATCATATATCAACTTATTGTTATCAATATTATTATTCTCATCATTATTTCGAGATGATGTATTGAAGGTTTCAGGATTGCTTTCAGGAAATACAGTTTTTATAGAACTTTGAGAATTGTCAGTTATAGTCCTGGTTTTTACGCCTTTAGAACCTGAAGCATCATTACTTTCAACTTTAACCTTTTTATCTTGGTTAGTTTCGGAAATACCTTGATTGTTATAATTTTCAGTTTTGAGATTAGGTTTTACTTGTTTTGATTTTACTTTTTGATTTTGCTGAAAAGTATCTAATCTTTTCTGTCGTGATACAATACTGTTCTCTGCAGTTTCTAGCGCTAGATTATTTACCAAGATTCTTTCCTGCTCCTCAACTTTAACTTCAACCTTGATCATCTTCTCTTTTCTTTTTAATTCAATCTTGGCAAGAAGTTTGTTTATACTATCATCAAACTGTACTGGAGTTTCAATTCTCTCTCCTCGAGTTTCTTTATATTTTCTTCCGGACTCCTCACTTATATGCCGGGGAGCACGTCTGAAATATCGTTTATAGAAACATTTATCTTCCATCGTGTACACATTACACAACCCTTCTCATGTTTTTCAGGGTATCATATAATATAGCATACATATAGCAATTAAATGGTTTTGTAAATCTATTGATGAACATGTAAGCTGGTTTAGACAACCCAGTGGAGAATATATTTCTATAGTTTAGTTAACCTAACGGAGAATATGTTAGATAGTTTAATTAACCTACCGGAGAACATGTTGGATAGTTTAATAAATCTACCGGAGAATATGCTTGATAGTTTAGTAAACCTACCGGAGAACATGTTCGATAGTCTAGTAAACCTACCGGAGAATATGTTGGATAGTTTAGTTAACCTACCGGAGCATACGTTGGATAGTTTAGTAAACCTACCGGAGAATATGTTGGATAGTTTGGTTAACCTAACGGAGAATATGTTGGATAGTTTGGTTAACCTACCAGAGAATATGTTTGATAACTTAATAAACCTACCGGAGAATATGTTGGATAACTTAATAAACCTACCGGAGAATATGTTGGATAGTTTAGTTAACCTACCAGAGAATATGTTGGATAGTTTGGTTAACGTACCGGAGAATATGTTGGATAGTTTTGTTAACCTACCAGAGAATATGTTTGATAACTCAATAAACCTACCGGAGAATATGTTGGACAACTTAATAAACCTACTGGAGAATAAGTTGCATAGTTTAGTAAACCTACCGGAGAATAAATTGCATAGTTTAGTAAACCTACCGGAGAATATGCTGCATAGTTTAGTAAACCTACCAGATTTTGTAGGATTTTTTAGTAAACATACCGCAGAATATGTTTGTTTAAATGGTTAACCTACCGGAGAATTTGTTGTATAGTTTTGAGTCTATATTTAGCCGCCCAATCCTCTGGAGTGAGTCCTGTCAAACTTTTTCTTTTCTTCATTGTAAAAAATTCATAAATGGGTTCATACAAAACTAACTAATTCTACATTTGTTAGCATATTTTTAATTGTAAACAACTAAAACAGTTAAAAGTAAGGATGGACATAATTCAATATCGAATAAATCTTAAATGAGTTTGCCTAGGTTGTCGGCAAGGAGAACATCAGCTCCTGCCTCCACTAACAACCTAAACAACGGTTTCTCTCAGTATACTGTAGTATAGTAGGTTTACTCCGAGTATCCAACAACACTGAAACCCTCCCATAAAGTCCCCTGACAAACTTAAACCCTTGAACATTTTAAAACCTTCCTTAATCTCAATGAAACCTTGGACCAATCGAAACCTTAAAATCTGTATAAGTGCACAAACTCAGAATCCTTCTGACATTTTCTGAAACTACTACTTGACAAGTTGAAACCTCCAGACTCCGTAAACCTGAAAACGAATGACAATATGAAACCTATCAAAAAACCTGAAACTCACCTGACAACCAGAAACTTTCCTGAAACCGTAAAATCACCGGAAAACCGGAAACCCCTAACAACCTAACCAAATTTGACAACCTGAAACCCACTGTCAGTCTGAACCCCCTGACAAACTGTAAGGCTGAACCCCCCTGAAACCTTTAGGCCCAAGACAATTTGAAAACCTCTGACAGTTTCTGACTCCAACCTGATTACTGGAAATCTCCTAACAACCTAAGACCCACCCTGGCAACCTGACAACCTGACAACCCACCTGAAATACTAAAACCCTTCTATCATCCCCTGAGCAAGTGAACTGCAACCCCCTGAAAACTGTAACAACTGTAACTCCCTGAACCTGACAAAATGATATTCTCTGACAACCTGAAACCCTCAGAACAACATGAAAATCCCCTGACAACCTGAAGCCCAACCTAGAAACCTAAAACCCCCTGACAACCAAACCAACCGCCTGAAATCCCTCCTGAAACTCTAAGAACCTGAAACCACCTGAAATTCCTCCGGAAACTCTGAGAATCCGAAACCCACTTGAATTCCCACCTGAAACCCACCTGATATCTCTCCTGAAACCTCTGAGAAACTGAAACCTGCACCTGAAATTCCCTTCGGAATCGAAACCTCTGAGAACCTGAAACCCACCTGACAACCTGTGAGGTACCGAAGGTTGCAGCTAGAAATACTGGCGTCCATCCATCCTTCATCCTTCTCACGTTCACATTTCCCCCGCACTAGAATAACAACAAATACAAGGTGAGTAAAGAAAAACAGGGATTATCGATGTTTTGGACAAAATGTACAAAATTTTTTGTTTGTTCGTATTTTGGGCATAAAAAAATAAAATAATAATTTAAAAATATTTTTGAAACCCTGAAGAATAAATCCGCGAAACCAAAATTGTAGGAAAATGTTTGTTTTACAAAATTCATCAAAAATTGAACGAGATAGATCAAAAAATGTAGCCAAACCCTGAAGAATAAATCCGCGAAACAAAAATTGTAGGAAAATGTTTGTTTTACAAAATTCATCAAAAATTGAACGAGATCAAAAAATGTAGCCAATTATTTGATATAATTTGATCAAATTTACTGCATATTTCCACTCTAAATGCTTGCGGATTTTTGTTATATCTCATTCAGTTTTTAATGAATTTCTATGAAATTTTGGTAAACATTAAGGTAAACATTTTACCAACAATTTTTCAAAAAATTTCGCGAATGTTCCAGAAATCTTTTTGAATTTTTTATCTCATTTTATTTTTTTATGCCTAAAATCAAAACAAAAAGAAAATTTTGAACATTTTGTCCAAAACATCGACAATCCCTGCTTTTTTTTGACTATCTCTGTATAATTCATAATTTTGCTTTCTTTTAAAAACTAAAAAGATATTTAGAGAAGATGTTAACGAATTCTACAAAAAACTGCATTTTGTAGCCTTTTATAAAAAAACAGTGTTTTAGATGAAGCGTAATGATAAAACATTTTTATTATCAATTAAATTCTTGTTTTTCTTGCTTTAAGGAGCTAATATTCTGATAAATTTTCTCTAAAAAATTCTTAACTATTTGAGATGAAAACTAGGAAAAACATTAAGAAATTCATAAATGCGGCAATAATGGGACGATAACATTTTCTGTTGAAAGCTATAAAGTGAAAAGTGAACGTATATTAATCATCTCACAAAGAGCCTGCAATAAAATGTTTGCAAATATTGCCAACAGTACATAAAGCATGGTTAGATGTGAACTCTGCTGGAAGGAAGAATTCAAGACCAATCCAGAATATTCCAGAAATATTCCAGAATATTATAGAAATATTTATTTCTCCATTTTTTATAAGTTGGTAAGTTGGTTCAGAAATACTTCTTGGATAGATACTCACCCACTTACAATACATTTATCACAACTTTAATAAACTGTTAACTCTATGTATAAATATAAGAGAAGAGAAAGCAATAAAACTATTTTATAATCCCCCTGCAGGCCTGGTATAGTTGGTTAAACTTAAACCGGTTAAATCCTGAGTTTTAATCTGATCAAAATCTGTTCAGGTCTCATGGTTGATAAACCTGCACTCTGGAGGCAGGTTTACACAAATATTTTGCATTTAAATATATTTTTAGAATTAAGTTTTCATAATAAAGTATATTCATGATTCTATTAAAAATCCATATCAGATATCAAATACAGAATGAATTCTTTCCTAAATTACTTGCTTCAATTTCTAATTTCTAATTCTAATCTTTGCAACCTGATGTTTTATACCTTTGTTGTTTCAATCTAAGAATTCTGCTAGATCCAATATAGTCAAAATTGAAATATCAAGAGTTTTCAAAAATTGCAAAAATAGATGAATCAGAAAAAAGAGAAATTAATTCCTTTTAACACGAAGGCACCAACCTTAATGATATATGATATGCTGTCTATATTATTTGTAAGAATACTGTAGTGAAGTGGGGTTTGATGAACGCAATCAATCTGATCTGTAAATAGTATTTTCCTTTTTTATTCTTTATTAAAAATATTCCGGGGCGTACTCGGAATTAAAAAATTTTAGGGGGCGCAGCATCTGTTGGGACCTAACCATGGAAACTATGGATTTTACTTTTCATGGGGAGGGGATTGAGTCCCCATATAGCCCCCCCCCCTGAGTACGCTTCTGAATATATACTGCTTCTTCCAGTCATCTCCTTTTTCTATTCTATTTCCAAACTACAGGTTCTTCTTAAGCTATCAAATATCCAACCAAGTAAAGAATCTTCTTTGTCTTATCCAGTATCCGACCTTCTTTTACTCTTTGTCCTATCCAGTATCCGACACTCCGTATACTNTATACCTATCTGAAGTTCTTCCTTGTCCTTTTCAATATCCGACCTACTGTTCTTTCTTGTCCTATCCAGTTTCCTACCTACCATTCTTCCTTGACCTATCCAGTTTCCGACCTACTGTTCTTCCTTTTCATATCCAGTTTTCGACTGTTTTTCTTTGTCCTTTTCTTAATCCGACCTACTGTTCTTCCTAGTTCTATCCTTTATACGACCTACTGTTCTTCCTTGTTCTATCTTTTATCCAACCTACCGTTCTTCCTTGTTCTATCCTTTATCCGACCTACTGTTCTTCCTTGTCCTCTTAAATATCCGACTTACTATTACTCCTTCTATCCTAAACCTACCTACTCTAGTCCTTATTCTATCCTAAACCTGCCAACTCTAGTCCCCATTTTTATTCTAAACCTGCCTACTCTAGTCCCCATTTTTATTCTAAACCTACCATCTCTACTCTAGCCCTATTCTATACTAAACCTAACTACCCTACTCTAGTCAATTCTATACTAAACCTACCTACTCTAGTCCCTATTCTATACTAAACTGACCTACTCTAGTCCCTATTCTATACTAAACCGACCTACTCTAGTCCCTATTCTATACTAAACCTACCTACTCTAGAGTCCCTATTCTATACTAAACCTACCTACTCTAGTCCCTATTCTATACTAAACCTACAGGTTGTCCGATTAATTCTGACAATTTTTAAACAGCTATTTCTCTGTCATTTTTTGTAATTTTTACAATCTGTATAAAGATTTGAGCAACTGCAATATGAACGTTTTGCAATATAACAAAATATCCGCAATGTGTACTGCAGATACCTTCTTCCGTTGAAAAGTTATTACTCTTCTAAGTCAACCCGGCCAAAATACTTCTAAGAGTTTTAGTAAATTTTCGCACTAAAGCTGAATTATGCATTTAAGAAAATGGCGGTCACTTTTAACATTTGTTAAAGAAAAAGAAGTGAATCCAGTTATACAACAAAAGGTTTATATTTTGATTACTCAACTTTTTTACAGACTGGAAAAAATTCCAAATAATAACAAAGTTACAGCAATTTGAAAATTGGCAAGATTAAAAGGACTCCCTGTACCTACTTTAGTGCCTATTCTATACTAAACCTACCTACTCTAGTCCCTATTTTAAATTAAGCCTACCTACTCTAGCTCCTATTCTATGCTAAACCTACCTACTCCAGTGCCTATTCTATACTAAACCTATCTACTCTAGTCCCCATTCTATAATAAACCTACCTACTCAAGTCCCTATTCTAAACTAAACCTACCTACTCTAGCTCCTGATTCCACCAGGATCCGGATAATATTTTTATCTCCCCGTCCTGCTGCAAGATGAAGAGGAGCTTCTCCACTCGTCTCATACTGTCTGTTAAGCTCCACTCTGAAACCAAACATTGTTCGGAGTCAATACCAAATTAAGTTGGAACCTCTATGTTTTGAATCTCGGGATCTTATGCAGATAAATTGAATTCCTCCCGTTGTCTCTGGTCATACCCTGCAGGGATTACTTAAATTGAGGGATTAAGCATTTATTCTTAAATTTAAGTGCCCACATTGGAAATCGTGATCAAGGCTTAATATTCAAGATTAACGATAATCCACGAAAAAGTTCCGATACTTAAATAAGTACTTAAGAATCTCATAAACTTTAAAAGTTTCTAAAGTAAAGTAAATGAATATTTGATAATGGGTTTACCTAGAGACATCCTTCTTGATGAGAGTAAGAACCTTGTTTACATCTCCCTGTTCTACAGCTGTATGCAATGGAAACCGTTGTGCTCGAACAGATCGAGCATCTCGAGCCATTTTTATTAATTTTTATTAATTTTTATCCTGATTTCAAAATTTTTTTTTAATTCTGCAAAAGTTAGAATTTTGGAGACATGATTTTTCTGTGTTTTTTAAATATTTCGTTTTAACTGAAAATGTCAAAAAAGATGCAACAATCAAGTGGTTATCACAAAAAAAATCTCGTTTAAATTCATTGGAATTTACACTGTTGGAAAGCGATGAAAATAAATCAAGTTTTACATATTTACATAAGCATTAACTTTTAACGAAAATCTGAATTTTTCTCTATAAGATGGTTTATGTTCAGAGGAAGCAATTTTATTCAACAAATTAAATTCACAAATCCTGCAAAAATTATAGAAATCATTTTCTAAAACATATTTATTTTAATTTATTCAGATATGATTGTATACCTGAAAAGCATTTCTTTATATTCTGTCAATTAAAAACTTAATCTCGATTTACTTGAAGATTGTTGCCAAGATGATTTTTTTTAATCCGAATCTCTGAGCCAGAAATATCGTGACTCTCCGTTGGAACCTTCAAAAATGAGATCATGTAAACCAGAATTTTATAAAAAACTTGCTGAAAAGAAATTACTCTATAGCTCGTCATGCTTCAATTCTCATGCGTGTCTATTTCGCATGAGTTTAATTGCAGATTTGTCAACAAACTTGAGTTCAGAAAGCTTTGATTTTTAAATGTTTTTTTATTGATAGATTACATAAGTAATGTAAAAAAGGGGAAAAATTTGCAGCAGTTGATCAGTCTAAATCAGCATTTATGAATCTGAGGTGATTCATAAAGAATATTTGAAAAGAAAAATTCTTCATCTTTAATGCACTTTTGCCTTAGACGTTGAATCATAATTGGAAAAACTAAAAATACTTATTTAGAGTTGATGTTATTCGTGTAATTTTCTTGACAAAAACTCTGAACTTTAATCTCAATTTCTTTGTAACCCGATGTTGCAGACCTTATTGATGGTTATTATATCGTTAGAACTGACGAGGGTCAACCCAGACCGAAATATATTTTCAATAAATGTGGAACTACAGAGGTTTGGTCCATCACCATCACTGAATTTTAAATGGTTTAAAAAATTTGAGTTTATTAGAAAAACTCGGTTCCTCTAGCTCACCAAAAGTTTGTTAAATAATATTTTGTACAGAGAGACCCATCAAGAAAGATTTTAATCCAAATCGGAAACAAACTAAGCAAATGTTATTGTAGTGAAAGAAAGATATACAGGGCTGTACAGTGTACAGTGTTCACTGTATAATACACATACAGACAATATAAGACAAAACGGGACTCGACAGTGTAGTGAAATTTATGCATCAAGTTATGTTGTTCACTATTTAGAAGTTTTTGTCATTTTTAAATACCATCTTTTATCAGACTGCGACTGAGGTCATTGCACTCTTAACTATGAAATATTAAATCCTAAGAAGAAAATCTATAAAGATTATTCCTTTTAAACTGAAACCACAAACATCAAATTACATAAATTAAATGTCGAGGGCGGGACATAAAGTGTCAAAGGTTTAATTAAACCATGGGATGCGATCTGACGACATCTCACTAACCAGAAAAAAAGGAAGATTTTATTCTCAAATCTTCACAGTCGCATTAAATTGTAAGAGTTATAACATATATTCTGCATACAATCTTTTTTAAGAACTACTCAATAGGAGTTTAAGCCAAGACATTGCTCCGTGTCTGAACTGAAAGGTTAACTCCTGTATCGAATATATCAGGTGTATCTTAACTATCTATCTAGTTCTATATCCCTAAGGTTAAGGAGGAAAGGAAAACTTTCTCCGGGTAGGAAACAAACTTGACCGGAAACAGGATTTTGTAAAGAAAACAAAAAATATTAATATTGGTATTTGTTTTGATAATCAGAGATAAAATTAAGCTCGGATACAGAAATATTAGTCGGACCTATAAATATAGAGCGGAATTTTAAAAAGAAATATTCTTATTAAAAAAAAAAACTTTTTCGAAGGATGAAAATTTCAAAATTGGTTTCATCACGCACATCCACCATGTGGAGATCATCAATATTTTAATATTTAACTGTTTTTTTAATATAGAAATGGTAAATACTCTTGTTATGTGTAAATGTACATTGAACTCTTAAAATTATAAAATTGTGCTTGAAGCTTTTAGAATCCGGTTTAAGGCAGAATATTAAAATCAAGATAAATAGATTTATGCAGGTTCAATCACTGTATATTTAGCTGCTCGAGTTCAAACACTAGGTTTAGCTGAGAACTGAGTTTACTCCACGTTTACTCACTCAAAGCAGGAGTTTGTTTTAACGAAAACAAATGTATAAACCTTGGAGCATGAATACAATTCGTTTACTGCTGGATTTCCAAGAAGATATAAAGTATGCTTAAAATTCGGTGATAGTGATGGACCAAACCTCTGTAGAGTAAAAAAGTAGATGTTAGTTTCACATTTATTGAAAATATATTTCGGTCTGGGTTGACCCTCGTCAGTTTTAACGATATAATAACCATCAAAATCGATAAAAAAAATAAAAAATGTAAAAATCACAAGAAGATAAACAAACAAAAAAGATTATTCAAAATAAAATTTTGGGCTGTCAAGTGGACATAAGGAAAACGAACTCAAATTATGAGCTCAGATAAAGTATAAAGTATGTTTTTGAATAATATTTCTTGAAATAATGTCGCCAAGTGAAAGGCATGGTTAAACCTAAGACTAAACGCAATTATCTGGACCTAGGAATTAAAGAGCATCAATAATCACTGCAAACTAGACAGAAGAAGAAGCTCAAATTTATGCGACATTACTGGTATGCCTTCGTGATATCTTAGCTCCTCTAGCTTTGAATTTACGCGCAAGTATGAAAATTTATCTGAGCTGGGAACTTTAGAATGGATAACCTTCAATCCCGACTGCTTAATCCGAATATCCATTGTAGAAAATTTTAATTTTAGTCCGTAATCCACTCATTTTCCTTCTCTTTGGATATCCGTAAATTGTATTGACCAATGACAGCATTGAAAATAAATTTTATCCATTGAGAGACCTCCGCAATTTATAACAACTAAATAATTTGTTGTCGGCCATTTTGTAAATTAATCTGTGAAGAAAAATATGTAATAATACGTTAGATTCTTTTTGAACTATTTTTAACTAATGTTTTAATAAATAAATGGGTGAGAATTAAATGAAAGCCCTTCCAGTCAAGAAAACGAACAAATCTAGCGTTCCAAGAATCAAATTTGTTAATATAAATAATTAATCTCAAGAATAACATAATCTCGGGATTATGTTAATCTCGAGATTATGTTATTCTTGAGATTAGCAAAAAGAGAGGATTAAGAGAGTAATTGAAAACATTTAAGATTTTAATATAACGTGTGATTTACTTTTAACATGTACTGACTAGTTTCTAGCAAAGTATACCAGAAACCACAATATTTATTTAATTTAAAGTGTACTGCAGCTTTTCGGAGGAATGTAAACAAACTCGGGACTACTCAGAACTCACGGTGAGTTTTGTCTCTACTCCCCCTAGAATCAAAAGTATCTGCACTTTTTTATCTTACGTAATCAGTTTAAACTGACAAAACCATCAGTATTTTCTTTATGTTTTTATAATTCCTGATTCTATAGTTGATATTAGTATTGAAAAACCTGTAAATAAAAGAAAGAAAAAATAAACAATTGTTACTTATTCTGTTAACTGTATTTATTTCATTCTTATATATTATAATTTAGTTAGCATTAATCCAATCCATGAAATATGAAATACGAGCATAAACTCCAGGAACATCAGATGCACATCCTACTCCCCATGTGACCACTCCGACTACAGTCCATCTTCCAGACTGTGCCTGGCATACAAGAGGAGAACCACCATCTCCAGTACATGCGTCCTTACCGATCTCTCCCCCGGCACAGATCTCACTAGGACTCAAGCTGAAGGAATTTCCCAACCCCTGTCTTCTCTGATTCATTGCAGCCTTCAGTTTCCCTTCACATGTACTAGGTTCAACAAGAGGAAGATCAACCTTCCTCTGGATAAACTGGAAGTTTCCAGTCTCAGAATCTTTCCCCCAACCTGCAACCCAACACCGTGTACCAGTTCCATTATTAAACCTAAAGTTGAACTGATCATCACAGCTTGGCAGGCAGACAGTATTAGCAGTGGAAGATGTGATATCAATGTTTCTGTCTACGGTTAGGATTGCCAGGTTATCTTTTAATCTTTTTGGGTCGAATCTGGGATTGCTCAGAATCTTGACCACAGTATACTCTTGGTGCTGGATAGCTTCTGGAGGATTGAATCCAGATGCGTCGTATTCTCCAACTCGAATTTTCAGCACACTAAAAAATAAATCATTACAATTCCTGCAGTTTGAATTTTTGAAGAAAAAAAAATATAAGAATTATAAAGTTTAATACTTACTCGTTTGGTTTGATACTCTTGAGTTTGTGTGCAGCTGTTAAAACCTTTCTAGTTCCTCGACCATTATCATTGCTTCCATCATTAGGAATTATAGCACATGTTCCAACAAAATCATTAGCTTTGTTTAGTATAAGACAGGTCCAAGGAAACTCTCCCGGACTTGCCTCTCCAAACTTCTGAGTGTTTATAAGATTAAACTGCCTGGTTCCACATTGCTTGGGTCCAGTTGATCCTTTTTCACTGCAGGATTGTCTCCATAATCCATTAAGAGCATTATTAGCTTGTTCAGGTGAGAGACAAGTTTTACCAAATACTGATAAATCTATTTGAGCGTCATAGCAACAAACCTTTTGACCAACTGGACAAGATGTTTGAGCCTGCGGGGTTTTTGACGGTATATTAACAATTCTAGCATCAATGAGTCCTAGACCAACAAGATCTTCTCCTCCACCACCTCCACCACCTCCTCCGCCTCCTAATGGGTCTCCGCACTGTTCATTAGCTGGAACACAGCAACATTGCTGGCCTGCTCTAGCTTCAAGATCTTCTTGTGAAAACACCAACCCAAGGAGTTGGAAGAGAATTAATATCTTCATTTTATCAATTCAAACAATAAATAATCTAAAAAAGAGACATAATTATAATATAATTGACTATAATATTATAAAAGGACTGGAAGTGTAATTTCAAGTGAACCTCAAAGCAAATATGTTAATGCTCGATTTACAGTGGTACCCTTGAAACCTTAATCTGATCAAATGTGGAAGATACAGTCGTTTTTTTCTTATTCAAAAATGTTTATTTCTGTTAGAAATGCTCAAATCACTTTCGCAGAGAAAGCGCAAATGAAAAATAGAACAACATTAATATTTAAGTTTTACTTGATCAGACAAAGTTTTGTTGTAAATCGGGCATTGCCATCTTTGCAGGGAGGATCACTTGAAATTAAGCTTACAATCCCTTTAAGAATAAAGTTTTGAACTGTTTGTTGTTGTTGAGTGACTATAACAGTTTTAAAGTGTTTAAACTGAACCTACTTGTATTTCTGGCTCCTGGAAGGTTCTGGGCTAGACTGAGCTCAGGCATGAACTGAGTCTGGTTTTAGAAGTAAACTATTTATATGGTCCATGTTCAAGTTAGATAGAAACCTAATCAGATAGTAATGCTTTTTTATTTATTAAAGTTTTAGTAAATGAAGGCACAGTTTACCAGAATTCACTTAAGTTTTTTTGGGACATTATTAAAAAATTTTTTTTCTTCTCAATACGCAAACTTATTTTTCTGCCCTACAAACAAAAAATGGCAATGGTTAGTGATAAGAGTAACCTTGGCTGTCTTATACTGTTATCTTTATTTTCGCTTCATAAATTTTGGATTGTGATTTAACTTGAAACTTTAGGTTTTCGCTCGCACAGCACAAAGTGAATTTTAATTAATTTTTAATTTGTTTTGAAATTAACTCTATATTAAAATACATGCTGAAAAAACTTTAGGAAATTAAATTTTAAAATAATACACGGGTTTTTAAAAGAAAAAATGTTTTTTTTTATATATTTAATCTGTGACACAACATTGAAAAAATTTTGACATAAACATAAGGGAATAAAAGATTTGAAATAAAAAGATTTTTATAAGAAAAAATATGAAGTAATAATTCTTAAAAAAAAACAATTACCCCCCTCCCCCCACACCAAAGGGTTATCAAAAGCTATTTATGAATTTCAGCTAGTTAATGAAATATGCCCTAAAAACCGCACACATTCAAACAACAAAAAAACAGAGCAGGATAAAAATATAATAAAAGAACCTTCGCAAAAATAAAGCTACCGGGAATATGACAAGCTGGGTTTAATTTTAAGATTAAAACCAGCTCCACGGAACTATTTATATCTTTTTTTTAAAATAATAAATAGTTATCCTCACTGTTTAGCATGTAATTTTTCAGACTTTAAATCATTTAGCATTTGATATTCTGACTTTGTTAGAAAAGAAATTAAGATAAAATCAGTTTTATATCTAAGGTTGGGCAGTTTTCTGTATAATTAGCGGATTCACAAAACTATGTTAAAAAATTGGTTTTTTTAAAATCAGAAGTTTTTTCCGTTCAGTTTATGTATTGAAATTGTACTTTTCATTGTTTAACGGAATTTCCCCTTGATTTTCATTAACATTAATTTGTTAACAGAACTTTGCCCGGATCTATTCATAACTGGGCTTTTAAAAATGTATCCTGTCTCCAAAATAAACGTAATTAAAAAAGTTAACCATTAATTTCCACAAGTTATGGTTTTATGTTCGCGTCTAAACTATAATAAAAACTATTCCAGGGTAGTTTAGGTAAAAATAAATGAATAGTCACCGAGGTTTATGTTTTTTAAGATTTTGGGGGAATGGGGGGGGGGGGGGCTTACAACATTTCCTAAGATTTTAACTGATATTCTAACCTTGAATCTTTTCTTTAATGAGATATACAATATACATATAACAGAATATAGAATTTATTGATAAATAGTTATGCTTAAATATTTAGTTAGCATTAATCCAATCCATGAAATATGAAATACGAGCATAAACTCCAGGAACATCAGATGCACATCCTACTCCCCATGTGACCAGTCCGACTACAGTCCATCTTCCAGACTGTGCCTGGCATACAAGTGGAGAACCACCATCTCCAGTACATGCGTCCTTACCGATCTCTCCCCCGGCACAGATCTCACTAGGACTCAAGCTGAAGGAATTTCCCAACCCCTGTCTTCTCTGATTCATTGCAGCCTTCAGTTTTCCCTCACATGTATTCCTTTCTACGATAGGAAGGTCCACCTTCCTCTGGATTACCTGGAAGTTTCCAGTTAGAGATTCTTTCCCCCAACCTGCAACCCAACACCTTGTACCAGTTCCATTATTAAACCTAAAGTTGAACTGATCATCACAGCTTGGCAGGCAAACAGTATTTGCAGTGGAAGATGAGATATCAATGTTTCTGTCTACGGTTAGGATTGCAATGTTGTCATTTAATCGCTTCTCATTAAACTGTGGATGTTTCAGTATTCTAACCACAGTATATTCTTGATGCTGGATAGTTTCTGGAGGATTAAATCCAGAGGCATCAAACTCTCCAACTCGAACTTTCAGTAAACTAAAATAATTAGAAATAAATATTTAAAAAATCCTTTAAGTAAAATAAATTTAAATTAAAATGTTTAAAAGAACTTACTCAGTTTGTCCAATCTTCTTGAGTTTGTGTGCAGCTGTTAAAACTTTTCTAGTTCCTCGACCATTGTCATTGCTTCCATCATTAGGAATTATAGCACATGTTCCAACAAAATCATTATTTTGATTCAGAAGGAGACAGGTCCAAGGAAACTCTCCAGGACTTGCCTCTCCAAACTTCTGAGTTATCGAAGGGCTAAACTGCCTGGTTCCACATTGCTTGGGTCCTGCTGATACTCTTTCACTGCAGGCTTGTCTCCATAATCCATTGACAGCACTATTTGCTTGTTCAGGGGAGAGACAAGTTTTACCAAATACTGAGAAATCTATTTGAGCGTCATAACAACAGGTCTTTTGTCCCACTGGACATGAAGTACTTTTTTGGCTTTGGGAAGGAATATTTGAAATTCTGATACCAATATCTGAAGCTTGTGGTTTTAATCTTTGATCAATAAGTCCAAGACCAACAAGATCATCATCTCTACCGAATGGATCTCCACATTGTTCAGAAGTTGGAACACAACAGCACTGCTGAGCTCCGAACTCGCCTCCGGAGGGAACTCTTCCACTCGGACTTTGATTCGTAAAGGAAGACGACTGTTGTTGATTAGCTTGATTGTTATTAGAATTTCCTGTAAAAGATGATGATTGCTGTGACTGCTGTTGACCTGAAGAACCAACTGGAGATACGCCCAAGGTCTGAGCTAATAGTCCGAGTCTTAATCCAACATCTCCAGTTTCTTCTGTTGTATTTTCTTCAAATTCTACTTGAGAATTAACTTTCAAGACAGCGAGGAACAAGAAGTAAATTTTCATTGTTAAAAACGTTAATTTTTACTCAGGTTCCAGCTTTACTCTAAACAAATATATAATTTTATGGTGGCCTAGGCTGGGATAGAATATACGTACATACAGAATATACATGGATACACAGAAAGAAAGTATAATTTGCTACTGTTGGAAAAGAGAGGTTGAGAAAAACAGGTTTTGGGAGCAACAATGGGTTATGGTTTAGACAGGACAGTTTTGGGTGGGCAAGCTGCTTAAATATTAAAAGAAGCTGTGAGCTGACAGATTAGAAGAAAGGTATATATAAATATTGAAAGAAGCTGTGAGCTGACAAATTAGAAGAAAGTTATATATAAATATTAAAAGAAGCTGTGAGCTGACAGATTAGAAGAAAGGTATATATAGATATTGAAAGAAGCTGTGAGCTGACAGATTAGAAGAAAGGTATATATAAATATTGAAAGAAGCTGTTAGCTGACAGATTAGAAGAAAGGTATATATAAATTTTGAAACAAGCTGTTAGCTGACAGATTAGAAGAAAGGTATATATAAATATTGAAAGAATCTACAAGATAATGGACCATTGAAAGAAAGGATTGTATATGAAAATAACATAAAAAGTTTCCAAAAAAAAAAGATTATTATAACATTCGGATTTTACAGTTTACTTATGAATAACAATGTATAACAATGTGTACACACAACTCTGGAAACCTACAAAGGATGAAACTTCAGAGACGACTGTGCAGAATTAAATCTGTCTGTTTCCTTATATTCATGATTCCCTGCACTTGTAAACTTGTTATTTTCTTGCGAAATCATTGAATAACTCATATAAGACAACAAGTCAGACAAGATACTTAATTTAAAGTAGGAATCTTCATATTTGAAGAGTTTAAAGTTGTCTTAACAGTCTCATCCTTTGTGGGTAACCCTGTATAGCAGCTTAAAGCTGTGATGATAGTAAATTTTAAAAACTTTATCCCAACTCTTTCAGTTTGTTATGATAAAGTACGTACAGTGGCGGCTTATTATATTTTCCAAGGGGAGGCCGGGGGGGGGGGGGAAATAATTAAAATTTTCTACAGTTAATTTGGCCATTTTTATGTCAAAACCATGAGCAGCTTGGGGGGCGGAAGGTGGAAATTTTTTTAATCTATTCTTAAAAATCAAAACTAAAATACTAGAAGCTAGGGGCCTGCTCTCTCTCTCCTTGCGCTCCTAATTTTTCCAGGGGGAGGGGGGTAAATCCCCCCAGTTTTCCAGGGAGGAGGAAGTCCCCCCTTACCCCCAATAAGCCGCCTCTGCAATAAAGTATTAGAATAAAGGATTACAAGATACAAGATGATAATTTTGTTTAAGAAGAAAGGATTATAGAAATTTTGAAAGGATGATTGCAGATTAGAAGAAAGGATGACATAAATATTGAAAGGCATTGTTATTATTTCCGAATCCAGCTCCGTTATAGGCTGAGGAAAGCGGAGAAAGGAGGTAATTCTACGGATCCAACACTGAGTATAGTAGCGTAGAGTAACTAGTTTATATCAAGCATATGTACAATATACATTACACTAGTTTTCAGCCTTATACTTACAGTTTTTTAAAATTACTTTGCACTTAGGATGTTTCTTCATATATGAACTATTTTAATTTGATTTAGTTTGCGACAAAAAAGTTTTCTTCATTAACCAGCGCAATACTAAAACTTCAAAAACTAAAAAGATTATTATTATTTTAACATTCGGATTTTACAGTTTACCTAAACTTAATCTTGTATCTTATAAATTGATAATTATTTTTTTACCTTGTAGAATTAAACATGTTTGGGCTTGATCGGGATTCCAGTATTTGGTTGAGTATTTACTTCCCGGTCTCCTGGCTTACACAGTTCGGTCATGGTCTGGTCACGACAGTGGTTGGACCTACACAACCATATCTTGCCCGGTATATACTACAAGGATAATAAAGGGATTGTTGCCCGGTATACTACAGGGATATTAAAGGGATTATTGCCCGGTATACTACAGGGATATTAAAGGGATTGTTGCCCGGTATATACTACAAGGATATTAAAGGAATTGTTGCCCGGTATACTACAAGGATATTAAAGGGATTGTTGCCCGGTATATACTACAAGGATATTAAAGGGATTGTTGCCCGGTATACTACAAGGATATTAAAGGGATTGTTGCCCGGTATATACTACAGGGATATTAAAGAGATTATTGCCCGGCATACTACAAGGATATTAAAGGGATTGTTGCCCAGTATACTACAAGGATATTAAAGGGATTGTTGCCCGGTATACTATAAGGATATTAAAGGGATTGTTGCCCGGTATACTACAGGGATATTAAAGGGATTGTTGCCCGGTATACTACAGGGATATTAAAGGGATTGTTGCCCAGTATACTACAGGGATATTTAAGGGATTATTGCGTGGTATATACTACAGGGATATCAAAGGGAATATTGCCCGGTGTACTACAGGGATATTAAAGGGATTTTTGCCCGGTATACTACAGGGATATTAAAGGGATTGTTGCCCGGTATACTACAGGGATTTTTAAGGGATTATTGCGCGGTATACTACAGGGATATTAAAGGGATTATTGCGCGGTATACTACAGGGATATTAAAGGGATTGTTGCCCGGTATACTAAAGGGATATTAAAGGGATGATTGTTGCCCGGTATACTACAGGAATATTAAAGGGATTGTTGCCCGGTATACTACAGGGATATTAAAGGTATTATTGCCCGGTATACTACAGGGATATTAAAGAGATACTATAGCATGCTTACTCCATGGATATATATTTTGGTAATATTTATCAAAAGCTTATAATTATTATCTAAGTTTCTCTGTTTTCCCAGATACTTTAAACCGATTAAAGTGGCAGAATTCAAAGTTTCACTACTTTCTACAAGGGTTTCAATTAATATTTACATGATAAGCCTGTTTTACGCACAAAAACACAATTTCGACGTTATACTTTTTATATAAGAAAAAAGTTTCTCCTCTATTTAGGAATACTGGTGTAGCTATTGATACTGTTAACCTTGTCTGGACTTTTGGGTTTATAGGTTTCCTTTTAGGAAGCCTCCTTACAGGTCAGTAGTCAGTAGTCAGTAGTCAGTAGTCAGTAGTCAGTAGTCAGTAGTTGTTTTTAACCAATCTGACGAAAATGTTAACTTTTTGACGAAGAATGTGTTCAATATGAATAAAGTGATCATAAATTTTCCAAAAAAAAATCAATATTTCTCATTATTTGAAAATGAATTCAGAATTGAAAATTTGATAGGAAAGGAATAAGTCTTTGCCACAAACTCGAATACCTTTGCAACCTGATAATGAAAATCGTTGATATTTTTAAACTTATGATTCTTTGATCTAAAAAAATATCTAAGGTCTATGTCATTAGGTTGCAAAGATATTGGGATTAGGAAAACCGAGTTTATGACAAAGAATTAATTTCTTTTTTGGAAAACTATGATTTTATGACAAATCCCGATGTTAGAATTGTGTACAATTGCAAAGTTGTTAACCCAAAGATGTTTATTTTTCTAGACAAAATTTCAAAAAACTTTTCTTTTGATCGTACACTCTTTTTGGTGCTCTCTGTATAATGATTATATTATTAATTGTAGGTTTTATCTTTAAGCAGTTTATTACCTCTGCCCGTGGAAAACTTATATTTCTTTTTTCATCAATATCTCTCACAGGGGTAAGTAAAGTATAAACCTATTTGAATGATCAAAATCAAATCTAAAAATAAAATTTAAGTTTTTTTTAGATTTTCGTTGTGGTTCTACCTCTCACATCTAGTTTCCCGTTATTGGTGACAGGTCGTCTTATTCAACACTTCATGCTTGGCGCATTTATTACAGCTGATGCTAGTCTTATTGTCTTCCTCATAGGAACAAACCATTAATCATTCTCATAAATCATTTATGGTACAGTATAAAAAATGAAATTTTAATTGTTAACATGCTTTTTTCAAATTTCAAGTTTACAAATAATCAATGAGAAGCTTTTTTAATTGACAGCTTCTCTTATCTTATATGTTTATGTGTATCCATGCTATTTTACAGCTTGATATAAATCAAAATTAGAATCAAAAGTCATCTATATTGTGTTGATATAATCGCCTACCAATCTACCGTCTGAGCAGAATTTGGGAAATCACAGAAAATTGTCAGCTGATTTTTGTAAACTTTCCAATAGATAAAATGACAAAATCTTAACAATCTCTTTTAAAATCATAACACCACAGTAACTTCCATTAAGTTTATGTATTCGATGCTTTAATGATTTTGTAAAAAGAAATCTTCATTAAAAATCCCTAATTTTTTCATATTATATGTACAATAATGGTTTGGTTAGGTCCAGAGAAATCACGCCCTTTTACAATGTTCCTACATGCAGTTATAGGTAACCACTAAGCAGTAGATAGAGAGATAGTCAGGCTTTAATTCAATTAATTTATCAAGAAACAACGTTTTCTGTTCTATTTAAAGCAACGCGCAGGATATTCAAACTTAAATTTTCCAGAATTTGTTTATGGAAAAATAGTAATTTTTTCACATAGCTAATTATCTTTAATTACTTCTTTAATTGTATTTTTAATTGCATCTTTAATTGCGTCAAAGGGAATCAATTTTTTAAAACAGAAAAAAAGGATGTAAACAATTTACCATAAATATAATTTCTATGAAATATTTGATTAGGTTCTGGGTTCCTGGCAGCAACAATCTTGGTCCGTCCTTTTCTTCCTTCAGAGGAGAGTGTGAACAAGGACACACTTTGTAACAGGTGAATCAGCTTAACATTGCAATGTCGTCTTCCCATTCAAGAAAATTACTAAAAACATTGTTTAAAGCTTTTTAATTGTTTAGTTTTTTTCTTTTTAATTTTTTCAAAACCCTTGAAGTTTTGAAACAAACACTGTGAGTTATCATTATCACTGCTTGATATTTGATACCCACACTAATATTATAGAATTTTTGGGGCAAGAAAACCATGAATAAATATACAAGATACAAGATACAAAGGATGATCTTCCGAGACGACTGTACGATTTTTACACTGTCTGTTTCCTTATATTTATGATTCCATGCAACTTTAAACTTGTCTCTTCCTTTGAAAAATCATTAAATAAGCCATTATAAGACCACATTGAATACAGAAGACCTAATTTGATCTTGGGATCATTTAAAGGGTTTCAAGTCTTCTCTACAGTCTCTATCTTGTTGCGCCAAAAAAACTGATTCTTGTGATTGTTGTACAAAGAAGTTGCAAATCCTTGGCTTTCACAAGTTTGTTGTGTGATTACATTATATGCAGGGTTAGAGACTTTAACGAAGACCTTAAATTCATTTTAAATGACAATCTGAAGATTAAATTTAGTTTTCTACCAGAAATATAGTCTTTAAATGATTTATTATCTGGTTTAACATTGAAAAAAATAGTGTTACAACTGCATGAAACCGAGATTGTAAGAAAAAGGACTGAATGAATTCTGTACAGTCGTCTCTTAAGTCTAAACTCATAGCTTTTGTGAATAACCCTGTATATCTTGAATTTGGAACAGTTTAATTTAATGTAAACTGTCTTACCTCTTAAACATGTAGCGAAGGGATTATTGCCATTTTTTCTCTTCTTTTGACCAAGTCGATTACTTAGGACGGGTTAATTTTTTACCTGTTTTAAAATGATTAAAAGCGCCGGGTTTGTTGTCTAGTCGTTGGAATGAGATTATATTTACACTTTCTAGGATAAATACAACCCTGGAGAGAACTAAAGATGAACTGAGCCTGATTAATCCTGAACCAAACAGTTTTCTTTTCATGGAAGAAGATCATTTATTGCCAACCATTGCCTGGCCTTTTATAATCTCAGGTAGCACAACACGAACAATATTGTAACTTTACTATAGGGGCAGCTTTTTGGGTTGAGGGGGGTGTATTTTTAAGATACAAAATTTTACATTTTTAAAATAAAACTGTATAAGTAGTAGCACTGTAAATTTCTATTTTCACAATCCCGCATCCAAAGGAAGGGGCGCCTCTATCCTCGAAGGAGCTCGCTTGGTGATCCATCAAAGATGAAATTATCTTGTTTTAAGGAGTCTGGTGTATATTCTTTAGCTTTGGATTTCTCATCCTAGCCTGCCTTCCATACAGAATGCCAAGGAAGGAAACATTACATTTTCTGTTTACATTACACATATTTTTTATTAACGTTTTTATAATCTTTTTATTAACAGAGAATTTAAATTTTTATTTCTGAATGAAAGGTTCTACGAGTATGAAGCTGGGAGTAAGATTGATGAAAAATCCACGAAATCAATCAGATTTCTTCCAGCTTTCTTCTCTATTGTTTTCCTCTTCTACGCAGTCTCCTGTGGAATTGAGAGGATATATCAACCTATGGCCACAACCTTTGGCCTTTGTGGACCACTTGATCTCTCACCCAAGGAGGCTGTGGCCACAGACTCCTTTTATAACGGAGGTTTTATGTGTGGTAGATTAGTATCAGCTGTAGTTGCTGGTTTTGTTGCTCCTCGCAACATGATCTTGATCTCTCTTGTATCCTGCGTCCTTGCAGCAGTTCTACTCTGTATCCTGGCAGGAACTAATGTTTATGGGCTCTACGGTGGTACTGCTATCCTAGGAATGGTTAAACCGAAAAGAAAAATATCAGAATTGTTTTATTTTTAAAATTTTGGGACGGTAAAACGTGTTTTAAGCAATATGTCAGTATACAGATATAACCAGAAAACTCTGGAATATGAAGACGACTTTAAGACTCAAGTTATAGCTTTTATAAGTCCAATGAACATGAGGCACAGCAATTGTGCAGCGTAAACAGCCCCATTTCACTTGATAAGTGTTTTAACTCCCAACCAAAGAAGGTAGAATTTAGTAGAAGATAGGGCATTAGGAATTTATCCGAATATTTATAATATTCTCGGACCAAACACCACAGGTTTCTTTATATCCTGGCAGTTTGGATCCTGTTTCTCCTGGGTTGCGAAGAAGATCAATGTGACGGGACGGGTCTCTTCTCTCTTCTTTATCGGTTGCGGAGCTGGAAGTTTGGCAACCCCTCCGATATCAGGGTTTATCTTTACATCAAGGTATGAAACCCAATGACATTTATCAATTGTCTTGTGAACTCACAATTGAAAAAACATGGAAAAAGTTGCGGCTTTAAAAAAAAAAGCTGGATTGATTTCGACTTTTCCCTGTTTATTTTTCGTCATCGTAACTTTTCCAGAAACTATTTTTAATATTATTTAATTATTTAAAATTGAAGTTAAGACAAAATTTTTCATTTTGATTTTTCCAAATTCCTGAGTTTGTCATTTTATAATAACCCCTTAGATTCTTAAAACAAACCTTAATTAATGTTTAACATTGAGAACATTTTGAGAAAGAAAGTTTTTAAATTTATAACAACATTTAAATTTATTTAGCCTCGGTCCGATGTCAATAATCTACATGACTCTTGGGTTCTGTTTACTCCAGTGCCTGATCTTCCTTCTCCTCTGGTTCATGGCTAGGAACGTGATCAACTCCTCCGACTCCGGTTCTGAATCCTACCAGCTCCCATCCTCCAAGAATTAACCAAACGGCTCAACTTTACCTTATACTTGCTCCTATAGTTAGCCAGTGCTCAAACAGTGCTGACCAGAAAATAGTTGACTGATTGGGATTTTATTTAATTCATTTTTATTCTGTATAGTTTGTACAGGGTGTCCCAATAAACATGGGAATTCAGTGACGAATTCGATATAGTCTTTATAAATAATTCTTTGATTTAGTACAGTGATACCTACTGAGAAAGCTATAATTTGTAAGAGTTCCGTCTGCTATGTTCACATTTGTTTGTTTATGTTTTGACTGCATACGGTTGTACTTAGTAAAACAAGAAAATTGCAGTACACAAACAGAGTAAACTTGACCGTCTCCACTGTTCATCTTGTGGAGACATTATAAACACATCTTTACAGTCTTTTACCCTTTTCATTAAATAAACTCTAGCAGACATAATAATATTATGGCTTTTGAAATCAGGTATTACAATGCTAATTCAATACAAAGACGATATCCAATTCGTCACTGAATTCCCATGTTTTTTGGGACACCCTGTAGCTAATGTTTTCTTTCTAAAACTACGCCATTAAAAATAAATCAGTTATAAGAGTTACCATGATTCAAAATCTGATTGTTTAATTTTATAAGAAAGAACGCAGACGACCATTCCACCATTTTCTAGTTATCCACTGAAGTAAAATAAATTCAAATACATCACTGCGCAGATCCTATGTCACAAAATATGTTTTTTTTATTTTCTTTATTTTTTGGAACTATAATGTATGAACAAGTTTAAATTTTTTTTCATTTATTCATTCACAGTTACGCAGATAAATCCAGACTGATATAAAAAGTTGCATCACTTTTGAAGACTGGGTCGACTTTAAAGTGGAGCAACGTGTTGGTCTTTAATTTTACCTCACTAACTCACTTTTTTGCAGCCCTAGATATGTAAATTTAAGAACTATAAAAATCTCTTGTTTTTAAATGGTTTTTAACTTAAGTTTAAAGAAATAATTGGCCATTCTCCGTCAAACTCACTATATCTTAGATCAGTTTACTTCAAACTACGTGCAGTACGCACCGAAAGCTTATTTGAGGTTGATGGCAAACATCTCATCAGTTTTTGTGTGAGAGCTTGCATCCTTTGGATCACGTACACTGTGAATGATTGTCGTCTTTTTTATTTCTTGACGAAGAGGAATACTTCTATGTATTTTGTTGAAAAGAAAATGAACCGCATTACTTCTTTTTTACATTTGTTAAAATTATAAATGAGACCCAATAAATGGTTATAATTGAGATATTTCCACCGTAGTAAATCAAGAAAACTGTTACAATTTAGTCCAAGATGATAGATTTCTGGAACGAAAGCGATATATTTAAATGTCGTCTTCTTAGTTAACGTAATTTTATTTCGCTGTTTTATCTTTCGACCTACGCATATCCGCTATACTCCACTTCTTACCTAAGCAAGATCTGCTATACTACACTTCCGACCTCCTAGCACGTGGTTTAACAGCTGTATTGTTGGATATATGGCTGCAGCGCCCGGCCCTCTATACTGTCCTATCCGGCTCGCGGCCCCCTAGCCTGTCCTGACGCAGCGCTCGGCCCAGAAATTGTCTCAACCTAACCTAACTCTCAAATAATAGAAAATAAAACAGCTTTCGTAGGTCTGATATTGCAGTAGGTGTATAATTATGTGTTTAATAAGTTTACACTTTTTGTTAGAAGTATATTTTCTCCAGTCAGAAAAGGAACTGAAAATAATGTGTTATTCCAACTTCTATTGTGAACGCCTGCAAAGAGAGAAAATCCACAGATATTTATAATCAAGTTTTACCTTTTAATCCCATGTTCTAATTTAATCCCATGTTCTAATGCGTAGAATAGTAAAAAAATAACTTATCGAGTTTACAACTCTCAAACTCAAACCTTTTAAAATCTTATAAATTAAACAAATTATTTAGAAAAAAAATACTGGAGCGAATACTTTGACTGCAGTTCAGTGATATCGATGTAATACAGTGATAACCAAAAAACTCTGGAATAGGAAGTCAACTTTAAGACTCAAATTGCGACTTTAAATAGTCTAATGGACATGAGACACAGCAGTTGTGCAGTGGAAACAGACCCATTTCAGTGATTTAATAACTTGCTAGAAAAGGTTTGTAACAAAATCAAATGCACTGCAGTATTACTTTTATACAGTTTTCTGGTTATCACTGTAAAGAAATAGCAAAGTATTTTCAGGCCGCTTTTAAGAAATATTACAATTACAGTTGTCCAACTACGCTGTATCTAATACCATGAAATAATTTTGGTTACAATAATAAATAAAAAAACAATTCTTGTGATTTTACAGTTACAGTAAATTTTCACATGGAAATTTTGGTTTATTTTAAATATGCTTATTCAAATATTGACGGTCAAATTGAAGATAATTACAAATTGTATCAATTGTGAAAGCCTAAAGAATCCAAAATTCCAAATAGATGTGTAATCCAGTAATATCAACAATTACTAGAGTTCTTCAAATTAGTTTTCTGGAGAAATAATTTTCATTTTATCTTAAGAAATTGCTCTTCCCTCTTCCGAAGGTTTCATTTCCCAGGAAAGCTAGAAAATTCAATACTATTATTAACATGCCCCCCCCCCTTCTATAAAAAAGTTTTTTTTCCTTTTATTACAATTTTTGTTTAATATGTAGATGTCTCCCAACCCGGCTTTCTCCGATCGATTAACTCAAGACTCTCTCCTGGAGCTTTCTCAGCTGTTCTTATCTCGAGATTGTACTTTTATCTTCAATCCTCTACTCCACACTATAAACAATAGAATGAGAACTTATTCTAAAAAACGAAAAGCGATTGATGAAACCGTTCATATCAATGTTGAAGGTTTTATTTCTGATGAGAAGAGGATCAAACTTGAACCAATGCTGGTCGAAGAAGATCCATTACAGATCTCTGAACAGTTCGGAGATAATTCTAAACCAAGTAAGATTAAAAATGTGATTAATAATGAACAAGAGAAGAAGTGTGATCTTTTCTGGCTCAATCCAAAAATAATTAAAATTGAGAATAAAGGGAAAAATATGAAATCTAAAACATCAAATCAAGAGCTAAAGTCGAATAATTGTATGATGATCTCCAATTCTTCTCAAACCCATAGTTTTTCTAAACCCATTAGTTTTACGAACCACTATAAAATTCCTCTAGATGTCTCTGAACTAGTGGAAGATGAAATAAGAACAAAAGCTCAAGGATTGCATAATTTTGAAATTAAAAGTTAAACCATAAATATTAAATACATCGAAATAATTTATCAAATATCATATTCTTCACTTTCTGATAATGGAATGTTGCAGATATTTAGTTTTTTTAATTAAATGATTATATGGAACTCTTTAAAACTGCTCCCGCATATTCATGGCAATTTATTTATTTTTGCAAAAACTGAGATTTACGTAAAGACGACATTTCATAAATTCTTTTGATGTATTTAATATTTAGGGTTTAACCGTATTATGTCTTAATTGTGTTTTTTTTTTGTCATAAATATTAGAAAGGCACTGAGAATTTTCGAAAACTATTGAATTCTGATGGTGTATCCTTTGACATTTTAAACTTAGACATTGGGTTGCAAAGATTATCAGAGTTTGTGGCAATTACTCAATTCCTGTGTTAACTTTAAAATTATGCAGAGTCGGCAAAAAAAGTTTCACAAAAACTCAAACGATTTCAGAGGTAAGTTGCTCCTATTTCGGATTAATTAAAAAAAATTAATAATTAATCAAACTTCTGACCTAAAGGAATTGTTCACATGTTTAAAAGGCCAAGTTTTTGGAATTGTGAACACAATTAAGCCAATCTTACCACTCATCCCGTTTTTATGTTTCCGCAGATTTTATAAATATTTTCTATCTAAATATAATGTTACAAAAAAAATATTGAATCGGTTTGAATTGGTTAAGTTTACATTTTTTGAAATAATCATATCGCATATTTGATCTTTTTATTATAATATTATATCAAACATAAATTTAGAGATTAATTATCGATGATTATGGCCCTTATGAACATCTCGATTGCAACAATTGGCTTAGTTATTTTTTAAAACATTCAAAAATTGGGTCATTACGTGCATTTTCTAACAGAGGAACAATCCCTTTTAGATACGTGGATGTGAAAGGAGGAGCGCAATCTTACCTGGACGCGAGGATGTATCTACCCAAACCAGTTCAAACATTCAACAACAAACTTCTCAATCTAGCTCAACAAGCGTTTCAGGGTCCTCAGAGTAACGAGTTGACGGCATTTTTTAAGATCATCGAAACTTCAATATTCGGAGATCTTACGGAACAGGAGAAGGAGAAGGATAATAGTTCTTGGGTCGAAGAATGTAGAGCTTGTCAGAGAAGGTTTACTTCTCCGTCTCTGTGGGCCAACCATCTCTATGCGCATACTTTTGAAAAAAAATCTCGTTCCGATGAGTTCCACCTGTGCACAATCTGCGGGGGAGAATTTATCAATAGGAAACATTTTTAATTTAAAATTAAGTTTTACTGATATTTTAACTTAATTTACTTTAAAGAGTTTAATGGAGGAGTAAGATGTATAGCTATAATTTTTCCAAATATTCTAAATTTGAACTTACCTAATTAGTTAGCTTAAGTCCGAATTTAATGAATTTGAGCTGCGTATCAAATCCGCCAAAAATCGGTTTTATTTGAGCGCCGGCTTAAATCTTGAAACATTGAATACGATTTCAAGTAGAACCAATCATATTTGAGCCGCTGCTGAAATTCTTTAAATTCGGCCTCTAAGCGTTGTGCACAGCCTTGTATGTATAGTGTACACGTACAAGGATACCTACAAAGAATGAGACTTTAGAAAATGAGCTAAAACTAGTTTACTGTAACGTTCTGCTGGTTAAATGTAACGTTCTGCTGGTTCAATGTAACGTTCTGCTGGTTCAATGTAACGTTCTGCTGGTTCAATGTAACATTCTGCTGGTTCAATGTAACGTTCTGCTGGTTCAATGTAACGTTCTGTTGGTTCAATGTAACGTTCTGCTAGTTCAATGAAACGTTCTGCTGGTCCAATGTAACATTCTGCTCCAGGTTCACTTTTTAATTTTGCCTTTGCCTTGTATATATATATAAAGTCTTTAGATGGTTTATATACTTCATAAAATTGCAAAGAATAAAAAAAGTTTGAATTTCAAACTTGTTCCTTTCGTTTTTTTTTAAATCCAAACTTTTAAGTTATAGAACCCCTAAACGAAATTAATTAATTAATTAATGAACCGTAAAGTTGTCTCTGTAGTCTCTTTCTGTGTGGGTATCTAAACCTAACCGAACCTTTACATATAAAATGTAGACATAGCATGATATAGTCATTTGGGAAATACCATTTTAAAGCTAATCATTGGGAAGTCGGTATTAAGGAAATACATCTAGGGAAATACCTAAAATATTCGTGTTTAGGTTTATTATTGGTATTTTGGTCCAGAAAAGTTAAAAAATGTAGATTAAGATTAGCGAAGGTATGGAGGATAGGGTTCAAATTGTATCTAAATGGTGTGCGGAATAGCCAACCAATTTATGTTAGATATTAGAGCAAAATCATTTCTCAACAGGGCAGTTTATAAGGGAGGGGCTCTACGTATTGGTAAGATAAAAGTTATTGGATAAAAAAATGAAAGAATGGTGATACAAGGAGAGGATAATGCATAATGGGAAAAGAAGGAGGAGATACGGGAAAGGATTCAATATGAGATAGATAAAAAAGAATCGTGTTTTTAAAAAATCAAAATTTATATTTCAAACTGTAACATGTTGATAATGCTAGTTATTTATTTTTACATTACAAATGTTGATTGATTCAGAGATGAATTTGATCTCCACCTGAAGGCTGAGGGTTGTATAGGATTTGGTAAAGTTGTAAATCCTTGTCTTATCTGTGGAATGTATTTATCAGGAAAACTTGCGCATAGAAAACATCTAACAATGCACTCCGAAACCTCTAAATCTAAATAAACTTGATCTAAACTCAATTTTAGAATAAATAATTAAACGATGTATGATTATGTTTAATTAATCTAAGGAATTGAAGTTTTATGATAGAGATACAATTATATCTTAAGTTACTGCCGAGTTATTTGAAAAGTATTTTCCTTTTTATTTTTATTCTAAAACACACAAATTCCTGCAAGAGCAGATAACTCTCTATAGTGGATATCGAGATCAATGCTTAATCTCAATCTTATAAATCTGCAGATTGATTCAATCTTTATTCGATATTCTGCATGGTAATCGTAACCTGCATGAATAACTAATTATAGAGATTAAGCATTGATTCTCAAATCAAAAGTGCCAGCAGTGGATATCGAAGTTAAACAACTGGGATTAAATGTATCCAGCACAAAAGTTCCCAACCCAATCAACCAAGAAAAAACAAACAATTTTCTCAGCAAACTTGAGTTTGGAAAAAAAAGTTAGGCCAAAGCTATGATGTTAAAAGCTTTTATTATCATGCTATTTATCATATGTATAACTAGCTTGGGAACCCATCTTTGCCTGGAGTTTTCAACCCGTTTAAGTTAGAATTTGTAACCAGGCTAAGAAAATTTCTGTGGTTCTACTGATTTCCCCTAACAAAATTTGAGGCAAATCGGCCTAGGGGTTCATGAGTTATGGACGGACATCCAAACAGAGATACGTAATTATAGAAGATACTTAGTTGTAGTCTCTGGTAACCATAAAAGTTTCCATAGAAGAAATATGGAATCAAGTGACAAAAACAAAAGAGTAAATCTCTTTTTACAATTATTAATTTTACTTTTTTAAAATGTAGATAAAGGTAAAAACTTTATGCATGGAATGAAACAGTGACAATGAAAAGAAAAAATGGATTTAATTGAGTTTCTGGGAGAGATGAAACTCTGGCGAAATGAAGTTGAACCCTGCAGAGTTGAGATGAAGGATTGATGTTGAGACAAGAATACTGAAACCAGAGAGCTAGGTTGCATATATGCAGGGATACAGGTTAATTAATGATCTAGATGATTTCTCCTCATTTTATACTCTAACCTTAAATCAGTATCTACTGTATAAACATTGGCTTGCAACCGTGAGTATTACAGGGTTAGATAAGCAGAAATGAACAGGTGCAGTTCTTCTGGACTCAAGTTTATATCTAGTTTTCTTGGACTCAAGTTTATATCTAGTTCTCCTGAACTCAAGTTCATATCTGGTTCTTCTGTACTCAAGTTCATATCCACTTCTCCTGGACTCAAGTTCATATCTAGTTCTCCTATACTCAAGTTCATATCTAGTTCTCCTGAACTCAAGTTCATATCCAGTTCTCCTGTACTCAAGTTCATATTTAGTTCTCCTGTACTCAAGTTCATGTCTAGTTCTCCTGTACTAAAGTTCATATCTAGTTCTCCTAGACTCAAGTTCATATCTAGTTCTCCTGGACTCAAGTTCATATCTAGTTCTCCTGGACTCAAGTTCATATCTGGTTCTCCTGGACTCAAGTGCGCATTTAGTTCTCTTTGATTTCGTAAAGATATAAAAGTGGTTATTTACTCTTAAAGTTTATATTTTGAAAGTCGTCAGAAAAGTATTGATTTCTGTTTTAATTTTGCCTTCTCCTCAGTTTGACAAATCTGAATCATACTAAAGAATATATTTCTTAAATTTAATCCATGAAACTCATTCAACCCGAATTCAAATTACTGCCCTAACCCACTCACATCCTCTCAAGCAGGCCTCCCCTACCCGACTCCTGACCCGGAATCAATCAAAGACAAATTGTTGGATGACATACGTCTGAAGGCACTGGAAACAGCTCACTCTAAATATATCAAACCTTGCTTCCTGTCAATATGAGAACAATTTCTGGAATTTTAGAATCCGTCTCTGCTTTCTCATCCCGCTCTACATCTATGGGTTGTAAATCTTATCTGTTCCTTATCTCACAGAGCATGGAATTGCTTAGTTCACGGTGCAATATCCTTCCACACTTTAAAATATTATAAACGGAAAAGCGTGCATTGTACACTGCACAGTTTTTGCTTTACAATTATATCTCTGAGAGGATGTATTTTTTCATCCCCAACCTCTTCTCCAAAGGGCCTTGAGACCGGTTTTATCCACAATGATGTGTTTTGTAATTATTCGAAAAGAAAAACTGCGGAATAACAAAGTTTGGAGAGACAGTTTCCGGACTGGACAAAGGAATTGAGTCTTTGCCACAAACTAAAATTTTTCTATCGTTAAAACTTTGCCACCAAATGTCGTAGACCTTAGATATTTCAAACTATAAATACTGGTAGATCAAATAATTTGAGTTTGAAATATCATAGTTTTACACTATCCAGTTGCAGAGATATTGGGTTTAGAAAATCTGAGTTTGTGACAAAAACTCAATTCCTTTAGGAAATTATTTTCTTTATTTGATATTTGATTAATGGGTTTGTACAACACTTGATCCAATTAAAAAAGATGAAAAAAATTGTGTATACAAACATAGCTTGGAAACCCGGCTTAGTCTGGAAACTAAGTTTTCCCTGTAAAGGTCAACCTACTGAACTTAGAACTTTTGAAACAACCTAAGAACAATTCCTGTGGTTCTACCAAGTCCCCCAATCAAAATTTAAAACAAATATGTCAAATGGTTAATGAGTTATGATCGAACATACAACAGACACCAAAACAGGGATTATCAATATAAATATAAAAGTATATTGGGTTTAATTAAACGTGTAAATACGACCCGGAAATTACGGAAGTAACAATGTAAAAAAATTGATGGAACCTAATTAATGCAGTAAAGTTTCTTGTTTTAAAGTTTCTCCACGTAAACATAATTATTCTTTACCTCACTGGCCCTTACTCGGAGTTTTACTCAGACTTTGTATTTATCATCATGTGTGAAAAATTACTTATGGTAGTAACAGGACCCTGAGAAGTTTTGCTTGAGAAAACCCAGAACCCTGAACCCCAAGATCCTAATTATAGTTGGAGCAATGGAAACTCACAAATAACATGTTACCCGCCATCCTTACTTGCTCTAATTTCCTAATATTTTAGAACTGCTCACCGTTAAAACAATTTAGCACAAAAACAAAAACTGTTTTGACGCCACGGTGGGAATATTTTTCCACAGATTTATATTAATTAATTTTTTACTCTCGACCTAGTTGCATTCTGAAGCCTGTTAGAGATTCTGTGAAATCTGTGAACAATTTTGTCTCTTTAAACCCAAATACAGTGATAACCAGAAAACATATTATTGATATAAAATATGATATAAAAATATTGTTGATATAATAAGTGTCTATTTAAATTGTTTGCCTATTTCCAACATTTAATGATCAAATACACTTAAGTATTGCTATAAAGTCTAGGTCTACGAGAAGGTACTTTGAAACTTCTCAACGATTAGTAACCATGTCAAAAAAAAGACAAAAATTATGATTGATTTGGTTTTAAAACATCGGAAGTTGAAAATGCGTATTTCTGTTTTTAAATCTAAAAATATAAAATTGTTAAAATACATATTTCTAAAGTATCGAGATAAATCATGTTTTTTAATAACTAGAGTCTGAAAAACCATGTATGTATAGAGGATAGAGTTTGGTTTGGTTGTGCTCTATCTAGAATATTGATTGATTGATAGAAAGATCTTCCCTAGTCTCCCCCCACATTGTTCTCGAAGAAAAATGACTTGATGATAATTTTTTGTACCAATTACCTGGCAATTCGTCATTAGTAATTTGTTAAGGGTTTGGCATTCTTTCAAAATTTTCTATGGCTCGTCGCGTATTCATATATCTTCGTCTTCTCATTCAGCTCAACCTTGACCAATATCAGGACAAGTAAACTTAATCATGTCTACACCCTTGTATGGGGAAACCAGGACAATTTATTAAATGATCTTCTGGTTCGGGTGTGATTGGGATTTGTGTTTATCCTTGGATAAACTCTAGAGTTCCTGCCCCCCTCCCGGCCTAATATACTTATGGTTTCCGTCATTTTTTTGTTTTTTAGCCTTTTCTGAGCATGATCATTTCCTACAAATCTTGCTGATGCATTAAAGTGATTAACTAAACTATCATCTCCTTAGTTCTAAACTGACATCCGAAGATTTTTCTTCAAGTTAAATTTGTTGTTCCTCTCAGAGAAAACTTATTTATATCCTGTTTTCAAGTTTTTCCGCTGGGAAGAGTAAGATTTATCCTGTTTCTCTATGTATAGTTAAATCACTTTTAGGAGGGTTTAATATCTCCTGTTTCTCCCTGGATAGTTAAATCATCTTCAGGGATGGTTTAATATCTCTTGTTTCTCCCTGGACATTTACATCACTTCTAGGAGGGTTTAATATCTCTTGTTTTTCCCTGGATAGTTATATCATCTTCAAGGATGGGTTAATATCTCTTGTTTCTCCCTAGATAGTTATATCATCTTCAGGGATGGTTTAATATCTCTTGTTTCTCCCTGGACATTTACATCACTTCTAGGATGGTTTAATATCTCTTGTTTCTCCGTGGATAGTTTTATCACTTCAAGAATGGTTTAATATCTCTTGTTTCTCCCTGGATAGTTATATCATCTTCAGGGATATATCTCTTGTTTCTCCCTGGACATTTACATCACTTCTAGGATGGTTTAATATCTCTTGTTTCTACCTGGATAGTTAAATCACTTCTAGGATGGTTTAATATCTCTTGTTTCTCCGTGGATAGTTATATCATCTTCAAGGATGGTTTAATATCTCTTGGGTCTCCCTGGATAGTTATATCATCTTCAGGGATGGTTTAACATCTCTTGTTTCTCCCTGGATAGTTATATCATCTTACAAGGATGGTTAAATATCTCTTGGGTCTCCTTGGAAAGTTAAATTATCTTACAAGGATGGTTAAATATCTCTTGGGTCTCCTTGGATAGTTAAATCATCTTACAAGGATGGTTAAATATCTCTTGTTTCTCCTTGGATAGTTAAATCATCTTACAAGGATGGTTAAATATCTCTTGGGTCTCCTTGGATAGTTAAATCATCTTACAAGGATGGTTA